GGGTAGTCATATTTTTTTTTATTTTTTGAAAGGTTTTAAATTTTTTAAAGTGGTTATTTATTTACTATTTGAATTTATTTAAAAGTTATATCGTGAATATAGTATTTTAAAAATGAGGTAGACTGATGTAAATTTGTGTGGTTGTTTTATTTTTTATTTGCTATTTAGGAGGCGTGTCACAGTGTAAAATGCTCTGCTGATTCTGCCTCCACTGAATACAGCAATGTGCTCGGTGCACATGTGCTGGTGGTGTATTTCTATTTTTAACCGGAGGACCCCTCGATAGGGGAGGAAGTTTCGTAATATCAAGGCCATCGGCCATGCTAAGTCATCGCTTAACAGCCTTGTTCCACTGCCCTATCTTAATGCTTATTTTATATTTGTCTTTTAGATATCAATTAGTATTGATTGAATAATCATTCTAAACTAATGGTATAGATCGTTATACTATTTACTGCAATTGCAGTTATCGTTATCTTGAATTATTAATTGAATAACTCTGTTAAGAAGATACTTATCATTTATCTAAGATAGACTAATTATGGTAATAAAATGGAACCTCGTTTATATGGAATTCCTGATGATATATGGTATGATCAATACTTTACAAATTATTTTCAAGTATTGTGTCGATCGTTCTATAGCGTTGTCTGAAAATTAATGCAGGTTTGTGGTTTCAAAATAAAATAAACGATACGAAACTATTCGTATTAATTAAAATACGCTCCATTACTCTTGATACATTTCTGCCAACGTGTTGGTTACTTTTCACTTGAGAATTGAGCTTTCTAAGAGAGATAACTCATCCAATAAATGAGGGAGGGAGGGAGGCTGTGTGGTTGACATTTTTGCAATTACAACCTAACATTGAATTTCTGTCTCTTAGTGAGTTTTTTACTGATTTATTTTGAGAGAGAGAGAGAGAGAGAGGGGGGGGGAGAGAGGGAGGGAGGGAGAGAGGGAGGGAGGGAGGGAGGGAGAGAGGGAGGGAGGGAGGGAGGGAGGGAGGGAGTGAGAGAGAGAGAGAGAGAGAGAGAGAGAGAGAGAGAGAGAGAGAGAGAGAGAGAGAGAGAGAGAGAGAGAGAGAGAGAGAGAGAGAGAGAGAGAGAGAGAGAGAGAGAGAGAGAGAGAGAGAGAGAGAGAGAGAGAGAGAGAGAGAGAGAGAGAGAGAGAGAGAGAGAGAAGAGAGAGAGAGAGAGAGAGAGAGAGAGAGAGAGAGAGAGAGAGAGAGAGAGAGAGAGAGAGAGAGAGAGAGAGAGAGAGAGAGAGAGAGAGAGAGAGAGAGAGAGAGAGAGAGAGAGAGAGAAGAGAGAGAGAGAGAGAGAGAGAGAGAGAGAGAGAGAGAGAGAGAGAGAGAGAGAGAGAGAGAGAGAGAGAGAGAGAGAGAGAGAGAGAGAGAGAGAGAGACTTTATTATCATAAAATAAAATAAAATGGTGCTGCCCAATTACATTGGGTTGCTAACAACACAGCTTACTTATTAATCACTACAGACATTATTTAAAATTATTATACAATTATATAGGATTAACAATATCTATGAGCATAGTACAGTGGACGTGTTCAATAAATAATAATATAAAGATGCTGTAACGCACGCATAATACAAATTTTTATATATATTCCTCTAGTTTTTTTCTTCCGGACCATAGTACTTGGACCGTGTCACGTAATGTCTATCAAATCCCTAATTTCATAATGAACCTAATGAATAAACAATCGATAAAAGTTCCCAAAATGGTAATAACATTTTATTTCGAATAAACATTTATGTGGTTAAGAACCACAACAAAAGAAATCAAACAACCACAGGCTGAGAACGAATGACTGACCACCTCTGATATCTCTCTTCTGTTCTGACCAGCTTGGTAACTACGGAATGAGAATTAGATTTTTTTTTTTTTTTGAGAAAAGTTAGATAGAAAAACTTTAAACTTGTTTTGGTTAATTCATATTTAATTTCTTGTATAAATTTCATATTTATTTTGTACAATGAGCAATTTATTTTTCTTATGTAAGTAGAAATAAAGTTGACGAATCAATATGAAGTTTATATATAATCAGATTTATTTTTTAATATTAAAAAGGCATTTGAAGGTCGTCATTGGATTAAGTTTGCCTCTCAAGGAACAACTTGTATTTCTGCGAATTGCTTGTCGTTTATGAAATTATTTTGTAACTTGATAATGTATTCATAGATTTTTAATCTACTCTTTATATAATGCAATAGTATAGATTCCATTTACGGCTGTCAGGAGCAATGGATTTTGAAGAATGAGGTTTCAAACCAATGAGAATTTAGTAGAAAAGTGATGAATCTAAATTTCGTAATTTACAAAGTTACTATAACTACAATACAAATTATTGAGAGGTTTCGAGACTCAGTTAGTTTTAAAATTTGTCTTATCGAGACGGGATGAAATTTTATTTTCAAGATTTTGGCCTAGACTTCAAGACCCTGCGTTTAAATACGGCAAAAGTGCCATGGTAACTATTTAGATAAAACACCGAAATCAGTCTTTCGGATAAACCCGGATGTATTCGGCTCTCCTTGAACAAGTGTGACCGAAGTGATTTTGAACCACGTGTAACCAGTGCGTTCCACATCTAAATAATTACCAGTACCATTTTCGAGATAAAACATAATTCTTGCCGTAAGTCTCTCGGGTGCTTTGGTTGTCATGCAATTCTTATTACATGTTAAGGTTTTAAAAATTAAAATATTGTTGTTTATGGTAGATTTCTACGAAATAAAACATATGGAAAAGGGAATTGGGAAAGAATATTTGCATGACCTCTTGGATACTTTTGATAATATAGAAAGAAACTTTTTTGATATTTTTAATAAATAAAAACAAATCCTGATATACTCTTAGTAAGATGATTACAAACCGAGTATGCATTAAACAAATAATTCTTAAGCAAGTACAATAACGAATTAGTATTCAGAGATGATTGTGTCTTATTGTCGTAACTATTTAACTGGAGGGATATTTTCCTGTGGGGCAAGTTTAATGCCTTATTAAATAAATTGATACTTTAAATAAATCGTTGTAAAGTATTATGCTTCACTTATCATTCACCAATTATCTGTTAAATAAACTATCTTTATATATATATATATATATATATATATATATATATATATATATATATATATATATTTACTCTGTAAAACAGTAATTTAATCAGTCTTTTAAATAAACATCTTTATAATATTATTAATTATGGTTGCCTTTAATTATAAATCATATCTTCAAATATTTCAACCTACAATTGTATTACATTCCAATAATTTAATTTTGTTATAAATTTATAATTACAAAAAAATTTGATTTAACACATATCAAAGTAGTTAATATGATAGAAACAGAGCAAATGAGGCATGCAAGTAGCTACTAAGATGTATATATATATATATATATATATATATATATATATATATATATATATATATATATATATATATATATATACATATATATAAACAAAAAATACTATGCACAAAAATACACATACAAAATAGAAAAAGATAAATAGTACTAGAAGACAAGACCTGATGAAATATTTTAATTATATAAATAATAATAAATAATTACTTAACAAAAGGTATAAAAATATAATAGCATCAACTTTATAGTGTTTAGTAAAACCCATTCTACACGTAAAATATTGTAAATTTTATTTATTTTTAAATGATATGTATATAACTCAATAGCCAAGCTAGACTCTATTTGTATGGGGAACCTCCCCCCCCCAAAACAAATAAATTTCTATCTATCTATCTTTATATTATATTGGATATACGAATAAACATTTTTTGTTAATGTCTAAATGCATTAGGCAGGATAGAGAGGATCTAAAGTCGGAATTCGCGCTAGGGTTGAGAGTCCGTCTTATTTTTTTTTGTTTCGTAAAATGAAGATGGTGTCTGTAAAATCAATCATATCATAGCCCGTCGAACGTCCTTTCCTTTTTATTCAAACTGTACATTTAATGTATTCGAGAAAGCCTGAGTGAGAAGACGGCCATCTTGCCTCAAATACGCCGCTCCGGATTGAATAAACATTTGTTCCGCGCTATCAATCCCGTGTTGACTGAAGGCTCTTCCCAGGGAACGGAGTGAGTGCTGCCATAAAAAGGTGCAGCGTGACATCATGACCCATTCATTCCCTTGACTAAGACCATGACACAAGACTGATGAGGTCAACAGATAGTCTTCCGTCGGGAGGTGAGGGGAAAACTGTCCAATCATAAATTCAATTCAATTAGTAAGCTCTAATATCCATCATCATGGTGAAATTCCTTCTTGACAAAAAGAGAAATCCTTATTAAAAAGTAGAAAATACAATATATCTGTTGGCATCTGTGAAGAGTGTATTAAGTGCAATCTTTGTGAATTTTTATGGGCATCACCAGAACGCTAATTTTTCTCTCTTTTCTGGTGTATAATGGACTAAATTATATGGCTATTACACGGATGAATATTCCTTTGTGAATCCTGGATTGAAACTCGAAAATAAAACTTGAACCTATGAAAATTGTAAACTTTCAATTAGGTTTACCATAAATATGATTTTTGTGTTTGATCATCCAATACGCACAGACGTCACATACATTACATGGTCGTAAAGATCCCTTTACTGACTCTTAGGAGCGATGGATTTCGACGAACGAAGTGTCAAAAGAAAGGAACTCTCCTCGAGAAGTAAGGAATTCCAATTTTAATCTTTAAATTCGGACCAAACGTCCTATATTTGTAAGTCAACGCACTGTGCGTTGGTTATCTTAGCCACCTAAGGCACAAAAGTCAAAACTGGCATTTATACTCCACCCCCAATAAGAGAGATTATAATATATTATTTATTTTGTTGTTTTGTTTTTTTCGGCGATCCCCCCCCCCCATATAAATGCAGTTGACCTCAGCTAATATGCTCTTTATATAAATAAAATCTGTTCTTAATATCGTTTATACTTCAAATATATTACGGGTAGAAATAGGTTAAATATCTACTGTTAAGAGCCCTGGCATAGATATATCAGTTTTCTTTTGTTCAGTTAATTATCAGAAATTGTTATAATATTAATAATTTTCTAATAGATATTTTATTTCATTTACAGGCATCAACAATTGATGGAAGAAGAAAAGGCGCATGCTTGTTTTGCCAAGAATATTTCATGGATTTATATCTTTTGGCAGAATTGAAGACAATTTCATTGAAAGTTACTACAGTTGACATGCAAAAGCCACCTCCTGATTTTAGGTAACTATAGTTAATCTTAGTTTGTTTTTAATCAGTTATAAAAGTAAATATGGTTTCCTAGGCTTAGAGCCTATCGTTACCACATGTTGACCTCAAACTCACATTCTCTAAGGATAACTTACATGTTATGGTCATAATATCTTATGTAAGTCTAATACCGCCTTGTATAATACCAGTAATGAAATCACCTGTTTGTTATTAAGTACATTATTGATGGAACTAAACTTTTAAATACATATTTGTGAATCTTGTATTTTTTAAAGTATTGGGTTCATGTCCTGTGGTTCCAATGAGTCTTGAGAACTAAGAAAAAGTTAGTTTATTTATAATTTTTTTTTTCTTTTTATTTATGATATTTACAACTGTATTAAGAAAGAATACATTAAGTAAATGTGATAACAGAAAATAAAAACATGAAAACACTTGTTGAGAAACTACTCACTGGTAGCACTCTATTTATAATTTAAAATATATATATTTTACCTTTTAATTTTCTAAAATTGTTTTTGATGACTTTTGTAATAAACAGATAAAATATTACCACTTATCTTCTAATAATCCATCATAATAAATTATTATTTATGTGGAATAATTAATTATAAATAAAGAAAAAAAAGAATAAATAAGAAGTGGGATAAACTTATAGTAGAATCAACCACATCTACAAGGCATTAATGAAAGTTTCAGTATTCAAGAAGTATATTTTAGTTTAAAGATACCATTGGTTTTACCTAATATTTCAGTGTTGCTTGTCTGTGATGGTAAGTTTCTAACTGAAATAAACATTTCATTCTCGATCTGCATTATAAATAGTAATAATAATTTATGTATTCTATTTCTTACCATTACATTATCCTCATTATTATTATTACTGATAACAGTTTTACAGAAATCCATTCAATCGCCAATTAACTTCTTTTGATCTTAGCATAGGAAAACTTATCAGTGGATTAATATTTTATAATTGTGTCTTCTTTTTTTTTAGGACTAATTTTGAAGCAACCCCTCCTCCAATACTAATTGACAATGGTTTAGCTGTTCTCGAAAACGAAAAAATTGAAAGGCATATCATGAAGAACGTCCCTGGAGGTCATAACTTATTCGTACAGGACAAAGAAGTTGAAAATCTTATTGAAAATTTGTATAGTGTAAGAATTTCTTGTTATTATTTTAGCTTTTGCAATTTATTATTAAAGGTGGATTGTTCACATGTATGTTTTTTCTCTAATTCTACGTAGACTTTTTAAAATTAGCAGATTTGATCTTGAAAACAAGAGGAAGGTCATTGTCAAAATGAGATTAATGTTATCTATAATAAAAACAATTATTGGATATTTAAACAGTTTTATGAAATTTTGCATTTTTTTTTTTTTTTTTTTTTTTTTTTTATCGGACAAAAGTCACTTCCCAAGAGTTTGGAGAAAAAATTGTTTTTATTCTTTACAAAACCCGAATAATGCTTGTCTGTTCAGCTAAAAATAAATGTTTTATTTCTTAAACCTGTCCTTAAAGGCATCACTTTCATCAATTGTTGGTGGGAAAATGCTTCAATTTGTGTAGTGATAGCAAATAATACAATTATAAGACTGATCTAGCAGAACTGTTATATTGATAACAAAGAAATTTTTCAATCATAGATATGATAGATGTTGAGTGATTATTGAGTTATGTTTTTATTTACTGATCTACTTTGTAAATCTTCATCATGACTAAAACCAATTACAGAAGATGTGGTTTGATAATATCCTGACCATCTTCTCTTCTTATTCGTTACAATCTTGTACCTGTGTTGTAACTCTCAATGTCCATTTGTTACAGAGGCTAAAACTAATGCTTTTAAAGAAGGATGATGTTTCGACAAATGCTCTCCTCAGCCACCTCCGGAAGATAAATGAACACTTAGGAAAGAAGGGAACCAGATTCCTGACAGGAGACACCATGTGTTGTTTCGATTGCGAGCTTATGCCTAGGCTGCAGCACATCAGAGTTGCTGGTAATGAAATTAGAAACTTGAATCATTGACTTAACTTGAGGTCAGATATTTGGCCGATAGGTTCTAGTTTTTAATTTTCAAAGATGTTTTACATTGCCAAAACAAAGTGTATCATATAATTACTCATTAATAATAATTATAGTTGGTGTGAAGAATTAGCCTATTCTATGACTTAAAATTTTCAGTTCTGATAACTAATTTATCAATAAACTGGTATTTACTGATTACATTCCCAAAATTGACATTTTTTGTAATATGATAGGATATTAAGAATGAATTATACTTTTGTTTTTATCTTCTTTAGAACCAACTCATAATAGAAACACTTGATAATCAAGGTTTTATGTATATATGGAATGATTAAAAAAATATATTTTCAGTAAAACTGTGAAAATGAGTTTAACTGCAGCTATATTATATATTGATTTTTGTTTCTAGGTAAATATTTTAGGGACTTTGAAATTCCTAAAGATTTCAATCATCTTTGGCGCTACATGCTGAATATGTACCAACTTGACGCTTTTACTCAGAGTTGTCCTGCTGACCAAGATATCATTAACCATTATAAGCTCCAGCAGGTAATTTTGATCATTTGTTTATAATATATTATGTTTTAGCAAGTTGTTTCTTTAGTTCTTATTAACCACATAATCATACTAACTGAAGCCTATTGGCACTCGCCAAATCTTCTCTTTGGCTAACAGAACTATTACACTCATTTATCGTTACTCAATATATTTGTCATATTGTATATGTATAAGAACTGAATTCAATAATTGATGCGTTGTGTCTTAAAACATGGTAAATAACAAAATGAAATATGTTACTATATTCAATTGTTTATTAGTTATAAACTTCTTCTACTAGCTAGTCGTATGTCATAATTAAATACCTTTACCATTGTTTTAAAAAATATAGTACAAATTACATATTAATTGTTTCAAAAATCTATGAAAGCAGCCATAACAAATCCTTCTATTGGCACAACATAGCTGTCCTTAGCCTACTCAACCAATCTTTCCCACTGTGCTCTGCTCCTGTCCTGGTAATACTTATTCCTAGATTTCGGAGGTCATTGCTTACATTATCCCACCAACTAGCTTTTAGTCTTCTTCTCGAGCTCACTCCATCTGGATCATACATGTATACTCTTTTGGCTGCTCTTGTTTCATCCATCCTGTGGACATGGTCCAGTCATTTAAGAAGCTAATTTTTTACAAACAAGGACGCTGCTAGTTCCTGATAAGGACAGTATACATCCTTGTTTGTTCTTATTCACCATCTTCCTGACTCTTGAACTGGTTCGAAGATCCGTCTAAGGACTTTTCTTTAAAATCTTTCAATCTTTTCAGCAGCCATATTATTAAACGTCCATGTCTCACTTTCATATGTTTTTTACTGTCCTAACAAATGTCTTTTACAGCCCAATCTTAGTAGTCCTGATCAACAATCTACTTCTAAATAATTTAATTAGAGGAAAGTATGTTTTATTTCCTGCCACCAATCTTGCTCTAATCTCCTCATCTTCATTGATAAGGGACCCAATGTAGCTGAAATGATTGACCAGTTCCAAGGTATAGTTGCTGACAACACATTATAATGTGTGGGTGGATGGGTTTCTTTCTTCTTAATACCATGACTTTAGTCTTCCCCTCATTGACTCTGAGACCTATACGCTGTACCATTGCGTCAAGCTTAATAAACTCATCTCTTATGCTAGCCAGGGATCTTCCAATGATCACCACATCATCTGCATATGCCAGTATCTGTGTCATCTTGGTGTATATGGTTCCTCCCGGGTCTAGCTTAGCCCGCCTCACAATAATCGGTTACATCGCTTATTCGGTACGCATAACGAATCCACTGTTGTCAAAAACTCCAGCTAATAAAAAATGTCAAATACCCTGTTTTACGACCGACTCTCAATTATTTAGAATGCACCTATATTCAGCATTATAGTGATCTGATCTTAGCATATTTGCTGAACAAGTATAAGGACAGTTGTTAATTTCATTATAATAAAATAAAGATAACTTATATAACATTATTTTTTAGGGAATGAAAATGAAGAAACACGAAGAACTGGAGACGCCTACTTTCACTACATCAATTCCTATTGGAGTTTCTATTGAAGAGTAACTAACTTCTAAAAATACTTAATCACACCTTTTTAAAAATGGCCATTACTGATGTAAATTTATCGGGAAAAACAAAAAAAAAATATTTATTAAAAATCTTCGCCATAAATTGTAGGCAAAAAAACCTACCTTTGGAAAAAAAGATAGCATTTTAATATCTTATTTTCAAACCAGTTTTTATTCATTATATATTTTTATTATTTTTTTGTTTTGTTTAGAGTGTATGTGTTGATTGAAGCTTTTCTTTTTTTTTTCTTTTTTTTTTTTCTTCTGTTATGTGCTGTACTTACGGTAGCTTTTACTAAAATATTACTAAGTACCTTGGAGTAGTGATTAACTACATGTTGCGCTAACACTTGAGATAAGAATTATTTCTGAGATCGTTTGTCTTTAAAATGATGATTGTCGTGCTTTTGAGTAAGAAATTGTAAATTTAAAATAAGTTAATTGATTGTAAATAGTTAAAAATACGAATTCTTTTGTTATTTCTTACTTGACCAAATCGTGACACCATTATATAGTAATATTATCGATAAGCTCCAATTTCAAAGTAATAATAATAATAGATTCAGGTTAATAGGTCAAAATACGCCTATTAATAGAAAAGATGGGATTTAATCTGTTCCTCTGATTAATGCTTTTGAATGATGTGCCTTAAATGTTATCACCTTTACTTAAGTAATCAAATTAGAATAGTATCAATTGTATAAATTCCATTCCCAGTTGAGTCTGGTATCAATGATGGTTTAGTTTGTAATTATATGTATAATAATAAACTTTAAACACATATTTCTTATTTTTATTTATACCATCGAATATTTCATTAATTATTGACCATAATAGAGCAGCGGATAAAGGAAACTGTCCTTGACCTGCTCAACTTCCTTTCCATTTGCAGGGAGCTTTAATTATAGTAAGCCATAATTTCAAATATGTTTTCATTACTTTTGACATGGATAGGAGTTTTATGAAATTCTTGATGCCTAAAATCTGAAGATTCTTATCTTTCCGGCGTTGTTGTCGACTAAAGGTGAAGAAGAAAATAGTCTCTGTACTAATTCTCCCTTTGATGTGGTATTGTGACTCAGTCTACATCGATATATCAGAATCACAAGATGCCAGAATTCAGAGTTCTCTCAACAGTGGATGTAAGATCAGCGTCCTTCTTCCACAAGACTTGTCTTATTGCTTAAGAATTCCTGACCGCTGCCCGGTCGAGTGCATCTTGAAAATTTCGATGTCCTTAAAATTACTCTCTTTCCTATCTTTATTTTCAAATTTATTTTATTTTGTTTCAATTTTTCCTGTTCTGATCTCTTTTATAATATATTTTTTACTTTCATTTAAGCATATATGTAATATATAGTAAGAGTAAGTATTGCAATAGTGAAAATTTTTGAATCTGAGTTTTCAACGGATATACACCCTTTTAGGTCCCTCGAGTCCAAATAACTAAGTCCCGCAAAATGGTCTGTGTGTGTGTTAACAGTCTAACTCAAAAATGAAAAGTCGTACAGAAGTGAAATTACATATTTAAGGTTTTTATATGCTAGGGATGTTACAGCAACTTTTTTGTCAAATTCGGCTAAATGAAAGTGGCACTTTATATAATGGACTAAACACATTTTTACGATTATCTTGAAAACAGCTCTAACGATTTTAATTAAATCCATCATATCAGTGTGAAATTAAGCAATTTTAAATAAAATGTGGTTATTATTCTGATTGATGTTCTCTAACAGGACTTAAATGGCTAATTTTCAATATTAGCTTCCCCATTAAGTACCTTTAATTTTTTTTATTTGAAACAATTGACCATTTCACATTAATTTCTAATATGAAAAATGGTTAAATATAAAGTATGAAAGAATTTGATAATTAACTAAAGGAGAAACAAGAGATCGTAACAAAGAATAATCGTAATTGAGGAACCAAGGAAGACAAGTGCACCCAAGCTCGCCCGAAAGATACATATGTGGCTTTCATAAATGCTGTTGATATTATTTAATATTTAATTGTATAGATTACAGCGATATAAATATTAAAATTTGTATATATGAGGTTATTTATACAAATAAAAATACCCACAATGAAATATAAATAAATATAGAGTCAATAATTTTTACTTTCGCTTCGCTTTGTCTGAAAATACTTATTTTCTGCTAAGAAGAGAGTGGTAAGTGAAAGTTGTGTGATGCGCACACCGCACCAGATCTTTTATTATTATCTTATTTATATTACTTCTTATGAATACTAGCATTTATTCTACTTTATTTACTAATATTAAAACCCTATAGTAGACAATATTATAAATAGAGCTCATTATATATTGTAACATAAAAATTGAACTTTTAGTTTTATCTGTCAGACAAGAAAGGGTCATAGACCCTAAGACAATAAAGTATCAATAATCTGAAATATTCCAATAGTAGATTTAAATTGTTTGATGAGTGAAAACGTATTTTAAGCATGCGCATATTTAATGTATTGAAATATTCATTCAATTAAGGGTCAAGAATAAATAAATAAAAAAACAATTAAATAAGTTTTAATATCACAAAGATTTTATAAATTCATATATAAAATTTAAGTAGTACTAGGCAACTTTTTTCGTTTTTTGCTTGCTTTTCTTCGATTGTTTTCCGGTTGTTTTCTTTGACACTGTCGACGAACCTGGAAATTAATTTCAATGTTTTGATTTATTTTAACAGAAAAGTGTATAAGAAAAATATAAAACTACCTGACAAGAAAGCGCCTGGAGCGTGAGCCAGTCCAGTCACATTTTCTATTTAATATTATAATAATAATAATAATAAAAGGCTTAGCGAACCCGAAGGTTCGATGCCGACACCACCAATCGCTTATTACACACCTTCCTCCACCGTTCGCCGTCCAAACCCAGTCCCTTCAGATCGGCTTTAATGCAATCTTCCCACCTTCGCTTCGGTCTACCCCTCCGACGCTTACCATTCGGCACAGCAAATATTAACCTTTTAGGAATTCTCTCGTTACTAAGTCCAACAACTTTACAAGCCCATTTGATTCGCCGCGATGAAATTATCTCAATTATATTACTCGGATACAGTTCACGCAATTCGGCGTTGTGTAACCGTCTGAACTCTCCGGTTAACTCATCCTTCTTCGGCCCGAATATTCTACGCAATACTTTATTTTCAAAAACCTTAAGACGCTGCTCATCCCTTAATGTAAGCGGCCAAGTTTCACACCCATAAAGAACTGTAGGCAAGATAATTGTTTTATAGATTCTAATTTTTAAGTTTCGGGACAAGAGGCGCGAACGGAGTAGTTTTGTCACAGAAAAATAACAATCTCGTTTTTTCTAGTTATCGTAGAACCTAGATACCTAAACTTATCTACCTGTTCAAACATATTACCATCTATATCGATATCACCAGTAGTATCGCCATTTTTACAGCTAACCATATATTTTGTTTTCCCCACGTTTATTTTGAGTCCTAGTTCTTTACCGGCTTTCATTAACGTTGTCGTATTTAGTTTTATAGTGTCAAGGTCTTCGCTTAACAGTACCAGATCATCCGCATAGCCCAGCACGGATGTTGTCCCATCCAGATCCAACCCTTTATCGGTAAGCATTACCTCCCTAATGGCATGTTCTAATGCCAAATTGAACAGGACAGGCGAAAGGGAATCCCCCTGTTTTAAACCCGAACGAACCTCAAATGTTTCGGACAGATTATTACCGATTCTAACTTTATTGAGTGTCTCCGTCAAGCACATCCTGACTAGATTTACTAATTTTTTAGGAATCCTCTGCTCGATTAGAATATAATACAGGTTCTGGCTGTCAATAGAATCGTAAGCCTTTTTAAAATCTATATACAGCTGGTGAACAATACCGTTGTACTCCAATTTTTTCTCTAATATTTGCCATAAAGAAAATATTTGATCAATAGTCAAACGATTCCGTCTAAATCCGCATTGGTAGTCTCTGATAATTTCCTCGGCGTATTCCGTGATTCGACTGGTTAAGATTAAAGTGAATATTTTATAACATACCGGAAGGAGTGAAATTCCTCGATAGTTATTACAATCTGTCCTCGCGCCCTTTTTGTTAATCGGAATAAGAATAGATTCTTTCCATTCTTCAGGTAATTTCTCATTCACCCAGATCTTTTTAACCAACCGATGTATTTTAGAAACTCCACCTTCTCCGCATGCCTTAATTAGTTCAGTAGGAATATTGTCGGTTCCCGCTGCTTTATAAGATTTTAATTTTCCGATAGCTAATTCAACTTCCTCTTTACTCGGTTCTTCTATCAACGGTTCAGCACTCTGGTACTCAGAAGGAGGACACAGATCATAATTTCCCGTATTTAAAATATTGTCAAAGTGCTCCTTAAATTTATTCAATATGTCAACCGGATCGGTCAGAATATTGTTATTATCATCCCTAATTCCAGACGTTATGGGCCGTACATATTTACGTTTCTATTCTATTTAATATTATACATATAAAAATGTGACTGGACTGGTGACATTGAAAGCGTGTTGATGCCAAAATAAAATGATTGATGATATCATCGGTTTATTGCTATAATTCACTAAGTACATTTTTAATGGAGCTGAACTTTTAAGAATAATATGAATTTCGACCTTATTTATCAATTAAAAAAAAAAAAAACAGTAAGTCCACCAAAATGATACATACCCTTCTATATATCAAATATAATTACAAGTCCATTATGTTCCGATTTCATGAAGGGAAAATTCATCAAAGTTCCTAGTGATTTAAGGCTATGAAATGTTGCTTACCAACTTTTTACAATAAGCCGATGGTATAGCACATATAATTGATAGATTATACAAGTTTTTTCTTTTTATGGAATATATTATATTATATTCTTCCCGATATTTTATGGACATGTTCCAAGGGAATTCTTCAGTGAATTATTTCACTGGAGAGGTCTGGTATGTATGGACAAAACATCAGAAAGATTATATATTCTCCGAACAAAAAAAAAAACCTAAATAATGGTTGATAATAATTTAATAAAATAATACTGTATCCTTATATAATTAAATTAAATTATATGTTATCTATTATAAAAATGAAGATTACCCCAAATCAAGTGGTTAAAACCTCTGGCCATTGCGTGAAGCAGAAACACAAGTGCTGTGTTTCCTAATGAGTAGTAGCCAATTTCAGCATTGCTGAGTTTGTGAAACATTGGGTATAACCACCGCCCATGCGTGTAGTAAGTTCCAAAGAAGCTGAAAAAAATATATATACATCTTTTATATCAAGCTTAAAAAAATATTCTCAATCATATTACATCAAATATAATTTTAATAAAATTTGTTACAAAATATTTTTTAGTAAATTAAACCATTATTGCTCCTTAGGTGTCTATACATTTTTTGTAATATGTGATTAACTTAGCAAGTTAACTCCTGATAAAAACTTGAGATAAACTTTTTTTAAATCCAAATTCTTAGATGGTTTGAAATATTTATTTCTAGGTTTTGTTTGAAATAATAAATTTCTGTTTCTCCTTGCTTAATATTTATATGACAGACATTTTGTCTTCCAATTTACTTATGTGATCATGAAAGATAACATGTATAAACTTGTTACATGAATATTAGACTATATTTTTCTATGTTTTCTCTTAATTTTTTACAGGTATTATTCCTCCTTTGTTTTAGTCAATGTAATTTTAAAGATAGAAGGACTTTTTATAAATAGAACCACACATTACAATTACTTTAATATTTATTGAGACAAAGTTTCAACATTAACCAGTATGTATTTTGAAAAAAGATACACTGCTTATTTCAATAAAAATTACTTTATGTTATTTATTTATCACCCATGATATGTAGAATAATTAACTAACTTCCTTCAATAGTTATCTATTATTATTAAACTATATAATTACAGTCAGTTAGGATTTTGTTCATCTGCCTTTGTCATAAGTCGAAAAAAAAACATTTAACACCAAATAATTTTCATAAAAATATTTTATTGATTTTTTAAATGTATAGGAAAATATTTAACCGATAACACGAATGTCTGTTGGGTGCTCCATTCTACTCTATTCTACCTACCATTTTATGGGAGCGGGGTAGCTCAGTGGTAGGGTACTGAGCTTCCAATGCAAAGGTCCCGAGTTCGAACCCCGGCTCATGGCAGAAAATTTATTTATCTGTTTCATTGGCCGTGGGGCGACCTTGGGTCAGGAGTCCCTCCTGGGGCTCACCCAGCCTCTATAAAGTGGGTACCCTTAATTAAATAATTAATTAAGGGGGAAAACCTGGCGGTTGAGCGTGATCTCGGTCAAATCACCTCCTTGCACAACCGTTGACCTAGAAACAGTGCTTTCCCTAAATAGTACTGAACCCCAGACCCTTCATGGGTTGTAGTGGTACAGGTTTTTTTTTTTTTTTATAGGAAAATATTTACGTAACATATTATATCAGATATAAAATTAATATTAGTATATTTTCTTCTTTGTAATAGCTAGAGCTGTTTATTCAAATTTTAATTGACGGTGGTATTAATGTTTGTTTTAATTATACTCTTTTTTTTTTTCTTTTTTTATCTTAATTTTATTATAACAAACGAGTGTTTGGAAAATGAGATGATTCCCTTAAAAAGATTATAAAATATTCTGTATATTATAAAAGTGGTCTGGATTTAATTCTATATATGGACAGCCTACTTCTAAAAGTTTGGATTTCAAATTTAACATACTAAATGGTTAAAGACTTGTAAGTGCGTAATGCTCACTCATTTACTTTAATATATGTATTGTGTCGTATTATGTTTTTAACTATATCAGAGATTTTTCAATGTGTGACTAGAACAATTATCGAAACTTTTACTTTTCTCTCACTAAAATATAGTTTTTTGTTGCCTGAAATTTTTTAATTATAAAAAACTTTTATGGAAGATAGTTTTAAAGGTAAGTCATTGATATTTCAACTCGCAACCTCTACCGTTTATTCAGACTTCACCATAATATTATCGTACTGATACCTCAACATAATTAAAATATATAAAGATTTCTAATAACATTTTCGTTGAAAGTGCCCTGATTAATAATCATAAGCTTGGTATGTTATTGATTTTGAAAGAGGAGGAGCACGGATAAAATTGATTGAAAGTTTTGTTATTGATGATATCATTGTTAACAATTAATTAACTTAATTAATTAATCGAAGCTTAAACTGTTTTTTTATATTTACCAGAACGTTTATTCAATTTAAATGAACTTCTATTAAATTTTCAATTTCGTTCAAATAAAGTTTGAGAGAGGCACATGCCTAAATTATATGTAATGTCTATAATAATATAATGTATACATATTGCATACTCTTATCAAAGTATCATATATCTCAACTTATATAAATAAATACATCTATCTTAATGAATAGACACACAAAAACAATAGAAACTTATTTCTATTTGTTATCCCACGTACATTATTGCCTTTGTTTCGTTGACCTTCAGTTTGAAATCTCTTTGAGAATATTTGTTAATCAAATTTCAAGGATTATTCAAGCCAAATTTTAACCATCAAAGGAGACTTAGTTATTGTTTGTTGCATTGACTTGCATTTTAAATTAATGCTAATTATTCAAACTTCAGTTATATTTAAAAACATTTAGTTAAATATCTTTTTCCTAAATATACTCTCAATATTCGACAAAACTTAAATGAGTTACTAAAATAATTTAATAAATAAGTTAGCTCTTTTTTATGTTAAACAATTTGTATGCACAAACATTTAAATTAGATATGAAATTTCAGCTGGAATACAAATTATTTTTTTTATTTGTGTTAGATATGTATCTGTAACATTTTCTTTTATAGTAAATGTCTATTCTTGGTGAGAGATGCATATGAAGACATATAGAAAGGAAGTTGAGAGAAAAATATTTTTCGCATTGTATTTAATATTTTTTTGGCTGTTTTTCTAGAATTTTCTTATTGCAAAGTTTATGAAATAAAAAAGCATTTCTGACTTATTACTGTAATATTATATTAACTCTTCGATATTTTCTGAATTACTAAAAAAAAATGAGGAAAATACATACCATACTGCATAAGCCAACGAGTAGAGTAGAATGCATATTGAAGACAGCGACCATGATGGGAATTTGTGGTTACAAAGCACCATGTCAATAAGGGGAAGAACTGAGTTGAAAGTATGCAAAGCATGGTTCATCCATAATGGTATCACTTTGTCTATCCAACTTGGATAAATTAGTTCTCTGTCAATGGCATATAAACTCCAAAAACTAATCGTAACAGTCTAAAAAAAAAATAATCAATTTGGTTTTAACATGTAAGTATTAAGAAATTTAAAAAAATCTCTAATTGAAGAGAAGAATGGTTGGGTTGATCATTCAAAAAACAAAAAGTTAAAATAAATAAGTATATTTATTTTTATTTTGCCGAAGTTTCAGCCCAAAGTTCAGGGCTAAGAAAAAAACCAATAGGTGTGAAAACCATAAACATTAAATAATAAAAAAAATTAATATGCTGGTGAAAGGTATAGTCTAAAAAATGTATGTAGAATAAACTTAAAGTAATAAAGTTGGTAGAATAAACTTAAAGTAATAAAGTTGGTAGAATAATAATAGTGACATAGAACTAAAAAGAGATAAATAATAATAGCAACTAAGTAAGGACCAATGAAATAAACATAATCAAAATTAGGTGACATAAGAAATGAAAAATGAATGAACAACAAAAAGTAATGGGATGTATGATTTAAAATAAGTAAGTGTAGAGAAAAAATAAATTGGGTGACATAATAGCTAGAATATGATATAATATTATGCTAAAAGGAAGTGAGATAATCATAGAATAAAATGTAAAACAGAGAAAAGGAATATGAAGTTATATAAGAAAAAATAATAGATGTAAATAGAAAATTGAGATACTGTAAAATCTATCAAAACATACTAACTGTATAAGAGAATAAAAAGTTAAAATAATATAAATAAGATGTCATACTCCACCATATATTTGTAGAATCTTGATACATTTGCTCATTAAATATTATTTACATTATTTTAACTTTTTATTCTCTTATACATAGTCAGTATGTTTTAATAGATTTTACAGTATCTCAATTTTCTATTTACATCTATTATTTCCTTATATAACTTTATATTCCTTTTCTCTGTTTTACATTTTTTTTCTATGATTATCATCTCGCTTCCTTTTAGCATGCTATTATATCATATTTTAGCTACTATGTCACTCAATTTATTTCTTCTCTACACTTTTTTTTTTGTTTTTCATCTCATACATTCCATTACTTTTTCATTTCTTATGTTACCTTATTTTGATTATGTTTATTTCATTTGTCCTTACTTTGTTGCCGTTATTATTTATCTCTTAGTTCCTGTTGCTGTTATTATCCTGCCTATTTTATTTTACTTTAAGTTTATTCTACCTATATTTTTTAGACTATGCCTTTCACCTACAGATTAATTTTTTTTTTTATTATTTAATGTTTATAGTTTCTCATACCTATTGTTATCCAGTTTTTTCTTAGCCCTGATGAAGGCCTGAAATTTAGGCCAAAACGCTGGCAAAAATTTAAAAAAAATATACTTATTTATTTTTACTTTTTTTTCAACCATTTTCTTCAATTATTCACTACATTCAATCATCAATCCACAGTTAAAAAATGGTCTAGTATGCCACAAAAGGATCCTTTCTGTGTATTACATATATTTTTTAATCAAATTAAAATTAACAAATATAATGTTAGTAATAAAAATGAGTGAGCTAAGATCCATTTTATATTTTTATAGCTAATTGTCTATGTCTTCTATTAATATTTAAAAGTTTCTTCAATTTATTTGTAAATTAAATAAGTTGATAAAGCATCTTGTTAACTATAACTTACCAATCCAAATGGTATCACTATTGTCGCAAACAAAATATCAGCAAGATTTCTCACTTTGTTGCTTATTTTGCCCAGCGCAGGTACTACACCTATTAGATGTGAAAATACTATCAAGAAGTAGTATAGAAGTTGCATGCCCTGAAAATATAATTATTATATTACTATTTAAAGGTTTAAAAACATTTTATGATCATTTCATATTAAAACCTTTTCATATATAGGTTTATAAGTTAATACCACTAATTCCAATCAAATATAATTGGACTACATTATCCAGGTGTACATAATAAGTCAATATCTATTAGGAATCAGTTTATAGACCATAATCTGGGTTAGATAATATAATAAATAAATAATAAAAAGCCTACACCACTACAACTCATGAAGGCTCTTGGGTTTAGTACTATTTAAGGAAATACTGTTCTTGGTCAACGATTGTGCAAGGAAATGATTCAACTGAGATCATGCTCAACTGCTAGGTTTTCCCTCTTAATTAATTAAGAAAGAGTACTCAATTTATAGAGGTTGTGTGTACATCAGGAGGCCTCGCGGCCCATAAAACAGAATAATAATTATCTACTATCAGCCAGATTTGAATCTACGGCCTTGAGCTTTGGAAGTCAGTGTCCAACCCACTGAGCTGCTACGCTCCCACAATAAATAAGATATAATAGTTAAATATTGGTAGCCAACAATATCATGTGATCTAGTAATAGCATAGCTATTAGTATATGACAGGGAAACAAAGTAACATATGCAGCTTTATAGATTATTAGTTTCTGATATAATCCAGAGGAATATATATATGGTTCACAACTTGAATTAAAACTTATATGATATTTGTTTTTTCTTATTGAAAAAATGGGTCCAGCTGCTTTATTGATAATTTAAATGAAACAGAAGAGAATAGGCTTAAAATTTTAAATCTTACAGCTTAATTGAGATAAAACATTTATTATGTACATAAAAGTCTCTATAAAAGAATAAAATTATTTTTCATTTCATTTCATTACGTGGGGCAATATAAAATAGACCTGTTAATCCAAAATTGAAAACTTACATAAGTCCAGTTTGTCAAGAACCGATAATTCAGCTCCCCTATAATTTTCACATCAGGATCAGTCGATTTCAAATTTTCCTCTCCGTTACGAATGAAAGTGCTAAACACAAAAACGTAAATTCCAAGACATACAACATGTAATATCTTTTCTAAAAACGCCATAGTTTTCCTGAAACAAATAAATTAATGTTTAAATTAATAATTTCTTCATACTATTTGTATTTTTTAATTATTTATGTATTTTCAACTCCATTATTGTGCGTTAGTTGTTATCATATAATTTGATATGATAAATAAATAAAGTTAAATAGTGTATATTGTACAGTTGGATAGATCATTTCAATGGAATATAATCCATGGATTACAGTCGACCAATAAAACAAAACAAGAAAAATAAGTAATTCAATGAATAATAAATATTCCTTATTTAAAATTAAAATTATATAAAAATCAAATTATTTAATAGCTACCTATCGACATAATAACATATTAATATTAATAACATAACATATAAATTAATTAAAATGAAATAAGCTTATGAATAAAACTTTTTGTGAGATATGTTTGCAAAGCGATTTATTTTTTTTTTTCTTTTCACCATAAATATTTAAATGAGAATTAGGTAATTATGTAGTAATAGCTTTGAAAATTAACACTTCTGATACCAGATAAAAATAATATATTGAAAAGAAAGGTAATTTATTTATTTTTTTGTTTTGTTTACAAAGACAATTAAATATGAGGTAGATTATCTATATATAAATACAAAAAGACATTGATAACCAATAAAATAAAATTATGCCTACAACTGAAATGAATTATTAAGCATGTGTTTTTTGCTTTGTTTTAATTTTCTTATTTTTAAGTTTTAATTTTATTTTATTTATTGTATATACTTTTTCATTATTACTTATTGCTATTTTACTTCTATTTATTTTAAATTTTTTGTAAATGTAGTGTGAATGTTATTCTATCTCATTATAACTAATGTCCAAGTGACAGATCATTGTAATACTCAATAAATAAATAAAACAAAAAATGTAGGGATTATTTTTGTAAGCATTTTATTACACCCCAATAAACACTAGTTAACAATCAGTTCGTTTTTCTCATACATTTTTTTTTTTCATAGTAAAATATATACCTCATTTATTTTTTTTTTCCAAATCCATTAACTTTTTGGCACCAGATGAATGAACTTATTTTTAATGATGAATATAATTTATAACCATTACATTTATCATTCAATTTTAAATATTAAAACTGTTAAATATGATCAATAAAGTCCATAGTGTCTTGTCTTGTAATTTTATTTTAAAATTTAAATTTAAAAATTGGATTAACAGTTGAAGAAGCTAATATTAATTTAAAGAAAAATAAATAATACGAAATACACTATGTATAAATGAAAATTAATTTTTAAATCTCTATGATGAAAATGATCTCTTCGGCAGTTTATATATTACAGTATTATAAATTGGTATTTACCTAAGGAAGATTGCTTGTGTGAGTCTCACTACATTTTTTACTTTGAAAATGGAGGACAAAAAATTGTATTAGATTGTTTAAAGAACACCCCTCTCAAAAGACTAAAGACGAAGTCAAAAGGAACTGGTTCAAAAGGGAAGAGGTGTACCGAAGGGTAAAGGCTGCCTGAACGTAGGTACTACTCAATACTATTGTTGTGAATCAAAGAGGTCTAAAGACTATAAACCATTGTGAAAAGAGCCCATAAATAGCATTTTACTAGCTATAAATTGACAGGTTTCTTTAAATTGCTGACTGATAACTGACATCTCAATAAACAGACAATTTTTTATGGTTTCTTCAAACTGATGACAGTGCATTTTTAGAATTAGATTTTAGTTTTTAGTTTATTTTTAAAGAGAGGATTTTTTACATTCATTATCAACTTACATAATGTTTCCTTTAAATTCCAACCGATGGAGTTATTTTGAAAATTTAATTTGCAATGATAAATACAAAAACTAATTTATGGAATCATTAATTTGTTCCCCTTGAAGGTTCATTAATTTATAACAATTAAAGTCATCTTTGTCATGTTTTATTAATTAATAATACATTTAGCTTCTTTTTTTTATAAACAAGCATTGTTATTATTATTATATTAAAACAATCTCGGGAAAAATAATATAATAATCTATTATACCCATAACTGAGAATTATTAAGTGTTAATATAAATCATTAATTCGTTGTTGTGTTTTTTATGGGAAACTATTAAGTATTAACAAGTTTATCATTTGAATTATTTATTTTCATTTCTATTTTTAATTCAGTGTTAGCTAATTTTTTTATTTTATCTTAAAATTCAAATTTATTTGAAATAGGGAACTTAATATTTTTTTTCAAGTCATTTATTTATGATTATTCAATAAAGTTAAATATTATCTTCCTTTAATCTTTGTTTTCAATAATTTAAAATTTAATCTTATTACTTTTATTGGTAATTATACAGTTGTTTAAATTACATTTTCAAAAACATTTTATTTTTACTGAAAACTGAATTTTAATATTTATCAATTTATTTATTATACATAATAATTTAATTAGGTATAATTAATAAAATAAAATAAAGGTATTTTATTTATTTATTATATACACCTAAGTCTGTACATTTTTTTTAAATTATTCAAATGTTAAATAATTAATTTATTAACTATTTAAGTTAGTTAGTTAACTTAAATTAATATTTTTCAATCATATGTTTTTTTATTTTTTTATTTAAACTATTATTATCATAATGTTGATTTAATATTTTAAGCACTGAAGGTTATACTGATGTATTTATTATCCAAATTTCAATTAAAATAAGAAAAATTTTGATTATTAATCGAATATAGCATCACTAATATTTTATATTTAATTATAGGTCAAAGTTTCATTTTTTTACAAATCATCACCACTCATGTAGATAGTAATTGTTTTCAGGAAATAATTATTATATGTAAGTTATGTTAGTAAATTTTATAAAAATGTGCTTACCTAATGGGGAAAAATATAAAAAGAAATTAAGTAGAAAAAGAATAAATCCTGAGGTGTTAAGGCACTTTCACAATGAAGGATTAAGGTAGTGTGCTACATAGAAACAGTGTAGTAGCAGAGGTACTGTTATCAGCTGACCCGTGGTCTAGAGTTCCTCGATTTTCTAAACAGAATCTTTTTTAAATCGGACGGCCACGTCGCCGTGTGTAACGCCATTGCTGCGTTGACTGAACGCCGGCCACGTATTGATCTCTTCAAGACACAAGGAACAAGGTTCAATAGCAAGGTCTTGATAAAAGGCAAGGTCATTGCAACCATGGCCTTGGAACCAATTGTGTTTTTTTCCAGGATTTTTCCATTCTAAAAATAATTTTAAATTAATTTTTCGTATCTATTTTTTTTCCAGAAACAGTTATATCTGAGCAAGCCACTCTAGGGTATGTTGCATTGTGTTCAATTAAAATGTATTATATATGAGAAAATTAAATACATATATAATAAACATTTTCAAACCAAAAAGAAACGTCATGTAAGCCCCCCCCCCTTCAAATAAAATAATCATAATGAAATGAGATAAAAATAAGTACGATTCGTTCAATTTTACGTCGCATAGTCAATTTTTCAATGGAGAAAACAAAATCAAAATTGCTTTTCTTAGATACCAAATCAGAATGAATCAAATGATTCATCTACTGCAGACACTAAACTCTTTTCACTAAAAAAGAGCTAAGATTCAATGAAGAAATTGTAAGTTATGAATGAACGCGAGGTGGAAGAGGGAGAGGGAAAGATTGAAGATAACCTTTTATTCAAACAAAATACCTCTAATTCTTTTTATTCATTTTGTAAAATTCTTTATTCTCCAGGAAATATAAATACAAAATTGATCACGACAGCCTTAAGAATACTAAGATCCATACTAAGAATGACCGCGTCCATCAAGACCATTGGTACCAGATTTTGCGGGGAGTGAGGAGGAGCCGCTCCCAATGAAAATAAAAGAAAAGCAAGAATATCTTTTCGTCCCCTCTTTAATACTGCGAAAAACAAAAACGAAATCGAAATCAATAAGAATTAATCTACACGAATGAATAAAATATAATAACTATGTTTTACCACGCCCTTTGGTCTTATTATTTAAATTTTAGTTTATATTCAATGATAATTATAAGTAGCATATCCTAGGATTGTGATTCATTCTAGTGCACCCTTCCATTTTTACGTGAACATTTTTTCACATTTTCCGCGACAAATTTGAAGCATGGGGAGAGTTTAGAGTTCATCTCACTGCCTAAAATATTTATATCAAAACAAAAATATGTGATATATTCAATTGTTTTATTTATATATTTTCAAATACAGCCATACATAAAAAGAAAAAATGTATTACATAAAATAAACTCCCTTAGAAAGTCTTCAGATGAAGGGGCTGTGAACCGGCTCCCAAGAGGGTATCAACAACGCTTATCCCCACTCATATACCCATTCGCTCACTCAGTTCGCTACAATCTCGCCTTTTTTACATTGAATTCTAATTTATATTACTGCTAATTATTGTTGTTTTTTTCGTTTGACACGATTTGAACAAAACTTGAGGTTTTTTTTTTTTTTCTCAAAGCATACTGCTTTAATTCGACGTTTTAAATAACGAGAAAAAGAAAACGGCCGAAACAAGTGTGCCACTATCACGAATTTACTGCAACGAATGACAAGTTGAAGCAAAAAGAAATAAAATAAAAGGTAGTATAAGGGTTTCGTTTGGCGGCGTTTTGTTGAAGATCTTTATTCCAAGAAGCTCTAGATTTTTTTTTATTTACAAATATTTATATATTTGTTTGCTTCTAAAAGATATGATTTTGAATCCAGGAATACAGACATTTTCAGCATCGAATTTAAGAATTATTTCAACTTTTTAATCCGCATAAGATGCATGTTTTTTAACATGGATAAACCCATACCTAAATAAGGTGTGATATGATATTCAGTTTAATGTTAAACAACAACCGATGACTTGCTTAACGATTGAAAATATCGAAGTCATGGGGTCAAGAGGATTCAAGAGATGTCCAAAGAGCGGCAACAAGGTTCTCTGTATTGCGGGTTTCGAGCTTTTATTTTCATGAAGGGTTCTATAGGTGCATTGTTCAAGTACTCTCAGATTCCCTGAGTTCTTTTCTACAAAAAAGGAGTTGGAAGGCTTGCCTTCATATTCATGGTGGGTTTCATGTCGCAAGCTGCACCTTAATAAATGTATGAGGGGGCATATTTCGACGGACTAATGGAAAGTTTCAAACCGGAGAACAAGAGGGAAATATAGAAATGACCGCAGAAATTCTACGTTGTACTTGAACTGTTTTTGAGAAGAGGAAAGCAATAATGTATCTCGAGAAGGAGGGAGGGTTCATGCACCACTGACTTTGGAGGAAGGGATGAGCATTCCTATTTATACTTTTTAACTTGGCTCAAAAAAGTTGACACTGCTGAAGCGTGTACTGGATGAAAAATAAACAATCGGCAGGAGGAAGTAATGCGTAACAAACAGGACGTTTGTTTCAGTAAGTGCGACTTTAAAAATCTATATATTTTGCATCGATGATCTCAGAAAACTTTTTTTTCTAAATATTTTGTAATACATAATGATTAATATTTATTACTAATACATAAGTAATTAAAAACCCTTTTCATTACAAGGAAGCACTACGTAAATAGTGCTGTTTAGTCTATTCCTAATCAATAACAGAATTAATACAAAAATCTATGTTAGGCTGAATATAATGCTGATAAAAGAATAACCTTGATTTGTGTGGATGTTCCTATAAACGTCATTGAGTCAGTAGGCGTGTCTGTTCTATTAATACATGGGAACTACTTGAGTTGGGAAAATTATTGCACTCAAGTTAAACTGAATACATATTTTTGTCGAAACAACTTATTTAAAATTAAATTGTGGCGAACTTGTTTACGATTTAAATTTTGGAGCATGTAAGAGAATGAAGGCAGATTCCAAACAAGTTCTCCTTTTTATCACCAGTATTAATTATTTCACTGTTATCAAGTACAGAAAAACAACTTTAGGAAAAATATTTTATCTTTTGTTGTCGAGGTAACAATTAACTTAAAGATTAGTGCACGTAATTGAAAGGATGTATAACACAGCAGCACTAGCGGATTCTTTTTTTTTGTGGAGGAGGCTTCAGCCCGAAAGCTTTTTTTCATATACTTAACGATAATTACTTTGGAAAAAAATAAATAAACCTACTATGTGAAATAGTGTTTAGGTGATTCTTGAAGTCCTATTAAATGTAATTACACGAACAAATAATACTTTAAGAGATAATTTTTTTATATTTTTCAATAAAACATTTTTATATTTTACCATTTGGAAGAAGTAGAGGCTTCAACCCGAAAGCCCCCCTCTTCCTTCCCTCGTAGTAGACCCCCCTGTGCACAGCAGTTTTAAAAAAAAAACAACGTGGTATATTTCGCAAGGTCAAAGTGTAATCTCCCGGTCTAAGCTCCACACCAAGTACAAAATTTCCCAGTTGTGCCAGTCTGGCCATCAATATTTTCGGAATCCTATAGTAAGTCTATGATGCTTATACCTCATGCATTTTTATTATAGATAAATCATTATGATAGGTCATTCAATCCAAAGTTAACTTAAATAATGAAGCTGAAAATTAGATGACATTTTTACACTAATTTTAAGTAAAAGTAATATTCTTTCCATTAGGAATGAGAGATCCACGACTCCTTTCTGCCCTCTCACTTAACACAATCATTAAATGCCTACCATCATTAAAAAGTTCAAATCGTATCACAGGCATTTTGGCTTAATACATTGTTGATAATTTTTTTTAACTAAGCGGCCATTACATGATCAATATTATTGTGTCAATATCGAAAGTATTGACCGTCTGATGGATATATTGTAACAATCATATCGATATTTGTAATATTTATACCACTTTCGATAATATTGCTTCTATAATATTGATCGTGTAAGGTGGGGTTAATGCAGTTCTTTTATATCCAATTTATATAATCAATAAATTGAATCAAATAGTAGATCCATTGAATGAATGAAGAACATAAAAAAAACAAAAAAAAAACTACAAACAAATAAACAACAGTTATAAATATCCCTTATCTTGACAAATTTACGTTATATATTTCAGGGCCGGAACTAGGATTTTTGCCAAAAGGGGACAAGCTTAATTTAAACAAATATAACCGTTTCTTTCTTTTTTTTTTTTCTTTTTCTCCTATAAAAGCAAAAAATCGACAGTTTTATAACTGTATTTTAGGTGATGTATTTAGCAATAAATATCAATTTTTTTTTAACATTATTTAATTTTATTGCCTGGAATAAGGTCAAAACAATCAAAAAGTATAATCAAACATTGTTTACTTATGTTACTGTTGATTTCCTCGAAATTTGAGGCTTTTAAGTTTAATTTGTTAAACTTGAATATTAATTATTAATATTTTTAAATAACACTATCTTTTCAACACTGATTTAACAAACATGAAGACAAATCCGTATATGAAAAATCATTATGCCATTTAAAATGTGTACATTATAAGTTTTGAATTCTGAAAGAAAAAACGTAGTTTTTATGAAACAGGTAAAAAAAACTCTTCTTTCCGTTTTATTGCTTCCTCACTATATGATGATTTATATTCATGCTGGAATTATAAAAATATTATCCTTATAATAGTAAATTTCTACGTATTATACGTCAAGGAATAAATTTTGTTTAGTGAGTGTCGGTCTGTCTGAATTATAACCATATAACGTAATCCATACAGCAGAACATCTACGTCTAAATTTCAAAAGCAGGTATGTAATTAAATTTAGCTCAAAATAGGAATTTAGTGCATACATGGTCAAATAACAATTACATCAATTTCCTTTTAACAATTCAAATTAATAAAACACTAAATTAGTTTTTCTTTGTGTGCCCTATAGAAATGGTGAGGAAACGATACAGAACAGACGTTATTTTGAAATTTTCTTTACAATTTTATAGCTTTTGGTCATGGTTCAGGAATTCAAAAGCTCTTATTTTATTTTATTAAATACTGCAAGCTTACTAAATCAGAAATTATAAAACATTCAGGTTCTTTCAGGGATACAATAAAGTAATTTTGGCACTAGCTCCGTTTCAACCAAAATAGTGGCCCAATTCAAGATCACCCTTTGGGAATATGGTGATCTTGAAACCAGCCGCCATTTTAGAGAATCGAAACGGAACTAGTACTTTTTTTAAATAAATAATATTTAATGAAATAAAGAACCGTTTGTAAAAAATTAAACTACCTTGGTTACTCTCTTTTCTTCTCTACTAGACCTCAAACCAGCTAGCAAAAAAAAAACGAATAGAGAACACATTTTTTTATATTTACCTTTTATTTGAAGTAGTGTTGATACTAAAAGTTTGGCATCCTGAAGGTTCTTGAAGATTATTATTACTTTTAACTTGCTTTGCTCGTTAATTCTATCAAATCCTCGGTTGCGGTTTTTCTTCAAGAAGTAAATGAGGACTTGAACTATGTATCTCTGCTGCACTGTACATGATGCCATTATGACTATTTCGCGTAAGTAGAATAATAATAAATTTTTAAAGTATCAAGAAAGACAGAATAGCTAAGTTTGATGTATTACATCGATACATACATTCTTCTCGGTAATTTGAAACCTCAAACCTCAGGTCGCCACTTATATTCTACTTGGCGAAGAATTGCTTTTTAAATTGCTTCCATGGTTATAATTATACCTTATACTTTTACTTCAATGCATTCATTACGTCTTTATAAAACCTTGAAGTTCTGGTTTTATTCCATAGAACTGGCTCGGACTCCATCCATGATGAAGATTCATCAACGTACATTTCGACGGAACTCATTTACAACACCGAACAGTATAGATTAACTGAAAAATTTACAAAAATATAATAATGGTCGAAAGATTTTAACGATCTACGGCTTCGAGGTCATGACTGAAGCTTTTTTTCGGGTACGTGTGAAGGTGCTAATTAGGGTTGGGACACTGAAATCGACTTAGGGTTCTCGAAATCGATCCTAGTTCAGAAATTATTTATTTTACTTTATACAGTACATTGAAATATTCCATGACAACAGATTGTTATTTTCCGTTCAAGATATCACCTAAGTTTGATTAAAACCCCGGTTCTATTATCATATCTATAACTCACAGTTTTGTCTATATCCTTGGTGCACAGTAACAATTTAATCTTATTCAATTTATACATAAAAGTTTTGTATAGAAATTTCTACTTTAAAAAATACAGATAAAACTTATTATTTAATTAAAACTCCATGTTATAACACCTAATCATATCATATAGGAAAGATCCTGGATGTTGGTCTGTTCTCCTAGCAGGGTAACCAACCTGAGCTTTCATTCCTCTGCCAGGAACTTCATGGTTGTAATTACAAAATCGAAGATGAAAAAGTACTTCATTTAGTCAGCTGAGCAGTTTTTTATTATCTCCTGTTCCTTTATCACCAGAAGTGCAAAAAAGAAAGAAGGTAAGACTCTATAGCCTGTTTGCCATCTGATGCCACTGAAATTCTTTATCTTATTCAATATTTTTCCATTTTGTTCTTCTCTAACAATGTTCATCATGAGAACTGTTTCATCAGTAATTTATCACAAACAGTAGGGATAAAATTTTCAATTAACTACAACCGTGCATGAAAATGTTTGTGTATTATTTACATTGAGAATGCACTCTCTTCTAGACTTAACCATATGACATCAGGATCTCTTGGGATGTAACTTCTATCTCAGAGCAAATAATGGAGATCACAGAATAAACAAACATGTTGCCTAATGAACTTTGGCACCAAGTCTTCACTTATAACTAATATTCACATGTAAATTTACTTATGTTATTTTTATTTATGCTTCTACAACCTGCTATCCTAATGGGCACATTTATATAATTTTATAAATGATTCATAGAATTCACAAATTATATATATCATTGTTTATCTAATTTCTCAATATTCCAATGAGAACATGGCTTTCTTTTTGATAGTGATTGGTACACTACACTAGCGGATACATGATTTAATTTTGTGAGGCTTCAGTCTGAAAGCTATTTTCACATATATATATATATCGATAATTTAAAAAAAAAAAAAACCTGTACCACTACAACCCATGAAGGGACTTGGGTTCAGTACTATTTAGGAAAAGCACTGTTTCTTAGTCTAGGGTTGTGCAAGGAGGTGATTTGACCGAGATCACATTCAACTGCCCGGTTTTTCCCCTTAATTAATTATTTTAATTAAGGGTACCCACTGTATAGAGGCTGGGTGTGCCCCATTAGGGTCTATCTACCCAGGATCGCCCATGGCCAATGAAACAATAAATAATATTACTGCCATGAGCCGGAATTCAAACCTGGAACCTTTAGCTTTACCCTACCACTGAGCTACCTCACTCCCCAATAATTACTTTGGAATAAAAAGAAAGAAACTAACTACCTATACAAAATGATTTATTAGTGATTCTTGAATTCCTATTAAATGTAGTTACCTAAAGAATAATACTTTTAGAGATAATTTTTAAATATTTTTTTCATAAGATATTATTATATTTTATCATTATTGGTGGGCTTCAGCCCAAAAGTCCCTTCCTCTCTCGTAGATCTACCTGCGGTACACTATTCTGCAAATCAATGTATATACATCTCTACAATACAGCCTCAGCTCTGTACTATGCAGTTGCAGTTGATAGTGGCTGTTAATTACAAAAAACTGTTAAAAACTAAAATACAAGACAATATTTAACCTTCGTGACAAAGTAACAGTCTAATTTAGTATTTTAAATAATTTTTATCATAATGAACATTTAAATTGTTTTTATTCTACCGTATAAGAACCATGTGTTTACGAGGGACAAACTCAACAAGCATTTTAACCAGGGGTTGAAACTTTTTTAAAAAGTTCCAATTTAACAGTTTCTGTGAAACTTTTTTGTAATAAAGTTCCACATTTCTGGTAAAGGTTATACTTATATTCATTCAAGTTCTTAAAAAAAAGTTCGATTAAATGAAAAATAAACAGGGCTTAGATTAGAGTTATAAATTTGTCTTAAATATATTACACATGATTCTAATGTGTCGTTTGTTTGAGTAGCTATGAATAAAAGTCATCTTTTAAATCGACTTATTAGAGAAATCGACAGAACTTTCAAATAAAAGTTCTGTAAAACATTAACTTGAAAAGTTGCAAGGAAAAAAGTTCTAATTCCAAAATATTTTTTTCCATTTGAAGCCTTGATTTTAACTCATCTTTCTTTTCATAACTTCTGGAACAAGGAATATAGAACCAAAATTACTTTTTCATTTCCTATTTCAATTACTTCGCTAAACACTAATCCTAGAAAAATTGTTTAAACATATTATGATAAATCTAAAAAAATATCTGGTGTGTCCGCTTTTATCAAATTCATCACTTGGTCCAAAACATAATTTTTTGTCTCATCTTCGCTACTAAAAAAAATTATTGGTACAGAAAAATATTCTTTTTAGAAAAAGGTCAGAAAAGATAAAAATCACTCAGATTTACTTATGACAAAGTTTATTGATACGTAATACGTATGCTTATATGTAATATAAGTACCATAAACTGAACATTCAAAAACTGTTTAATTACCTCCGTTACATAAGAAAATATGGAGTAAATGATAATAATACTTTTAAATTCCAATTAAATACAACTCATTTTTAAATTCAATAATAATAAAATAACTTCAAAACAATTTAATTACATAATATCAGAAATTATTATTTTATAAACATTAATTTTATACCATTGGTAAAACATTTAAACATCGAATATAACAGGTTAACTAAAAGTCCTTGATTCCAATAAATACAAAACTTGTATTTAAAAATTAAGACAGGAATACTGTTATCTCTCCATTGTATAGGTAATAAGAGGGGATGAACCAAAATATAAAATTTTCCATATTTAGATAGAACTGCCAAGCTTAAATGTAACAGCTAGCTTATATTTCACAATAAACTTATATGAAATTAAATGTAATAAATTAATATTTACAATATTTTTTCTTCGTTTGGAACGAAATTTAACTTCTTTCTACATTAAAACAAAAGAGGGCATTCATTATTTTCTATTTGCACCTTCATAAATGAAAGCTACGTAGGCAGTGCCGTAATAATAACTACCTCTCTTGAGATAAGATGCAACATATTATTATAAAATATAAAACATCACAATGAACAATGAGCTACTTTCTAGGCAGCACTTTATATTTAAATGAAATTAACTATCCATAAAAATAATAACAAACATAAATTATAAACTTACAAGTATATTAAAAGCAAACATTTTTCCTTGTTTTCTAAGCCTTGCACTAAATTTGTTCTACTTTGTACATACAAAATTATTTTTAAAATAATTATGATTTTTTCCCAACAATAAATGCCAACAGAAACTAACTTTAGCAATACAGCAATGCAATTTTTATAATAAATATAATTTAGATAAACCAGATTTAATGTTAATCATAAGTACTAAATATTGAAAAAAAAAACCAACTAATTCAATCAATTAAATAATTATGTTTCATGTCCTATTTAATATAGATCTTGGATATTTCTTTATGTTTTTTTAACACTGTTCATACTTTTTAGTGAGAAATTAATAATTCCTACATCTTTTAGGACACTAATATGTTCAAACCATAACATATCAAAAATGTTTCTTACAAAAGAATTTATTAACACATGCATTATTTGTACCATTATCGATGAAGCTTATTAAATTTTGTTTGAGATGCAAACAATAATTACAATTATATAATAAGTTACTTATATTTTATTGAATATAGGAATTTATAGTAAAACTAAAAATTGAGTATAGTAATTGAGATATTTACATAAAACAAAAGGATGCCACTAATACGGCCTAAACTGACCACCAGGTACAAAATTGTGAGATATTTTTGGATAGGATGTACTGCCAACGTAGCTATTGGTGGGAGTGTACCTATTCCCATTGTTTCCTCCACGTGGTCGCCATTTATAAGAAGGGTTCCTGAAGTTCGATTTACCATTCACCTTGCTTATATGTTTCTTCGAAGAAGTGTGCTGTAATTTAGAAAAAAATCATATAAATTTAATATTCCATTAACTTTAATAAATTATGTCCTTAATAAATAATTATTAATGATTTAAGATTAAAATATTTAATATAAGTATTTCATCATTGTATATAATAAATAATTTAATATTTTCAAGAACATTTTTTTTAACCCTTTCAACGTTTTTTTAAATTATTTCATCGCACTATATTTAATGATGTTTCAGCCTTTCTTTGCCTATCTTCTAGCCTCTTTTCTATTAAAAAATATTTATATACATGCCATCAACAACAAAATTTCTTTGTTGGGATTGTAGACAATCCATAAAAATCTTTGGTTCCATGATAAGGTGTTCATACAGAAATATATAGCTTGCGGAGACATGGTTAGGGCAAGGGACTCGGGTCCAAGGATCAAATCGGTCTAGATCCATGGATTATGGACACGCAAGGTCAGAAGCCGCACGAGAACCTATTTTTCTTACCCCAAAACAAACGTCTATGGACCAAGTCTCCTGGTAGCTCTCAGTTAGCAAATCGGCCATCGCTGACCATCTCGACATTCACCTTGTATATATGTTTCTTCGAAGAAGTGTGCTGTAATTTAGAAAAAAATCTTATAAATTTTATATTATTCCATTAATTTTGGCATATTATGTCCTAAATAAATAATTATTAATGTTTTAAGTTTTAAATTTTTACATAAATATATTTTTTTTAAATTTTATAAAAAGGATTTCATCATTTATTGTTTATAATAAACAATTTTATCTCTTCAGGAAGAAACAATTTAACCTTTTTTAAAATGGCCTTAAATTATTTCATCGCATTACATTTAATGATTTGGCCTATTTTTTTTTTCCCCCATTTTCTATTAAAAATATTTATATATAAAAATATGCCATCAACAATGAAAAGATATGTGTATTAGCACGATAGACTATAAGAATCTCTGCTCTGCCTACAGAAATATACTGCTTGTGGGGACATGGTTAGAGCTGAGGAATCGGGTCCAAGGATCAAATCAGTCTAGGTCCATGGATTACAGACTCAAGTTCAGGTCATGAGGCGCACGAGGATCTATATTTCTTGCCCCAAAACAAACCGTCTATGGACCAAGTCTCCTGGCAACTCTCAGTTAGCAAATCGACCATCTGTAATAACCTTGATGTCGCCATTGGAAAGGTTAAAATGTTTGAAGCGCTAAGTTAAATGATCACAAAAAAGAACCTTTGTAATGAAGTTTGCACAAAATTTCTTTGCCAAAAGAAAAAGGGACTTCACCACCCTACTTTCGCTTACTGACTACCATGTTTGTTGATATCTGGGCTAAATTTTATAAGACAAAAATTTTATTGATCAAAATTTGTTAGAAAATGCATTTTCAGAATTCATTAATAATAACGATTCAACATTCTATTCAGAGAAAATGAAAAAGTTACAAAAACTAGAAGAATGTATGCAGAGTATTTCTATTGATAAAAATAGTTTTGTTTTTATTTATTCTGTAGGTTATACTTTAAAACCATAAACCTGCATTAATTTTGTCATTGTTTGTCCATGACAGTGTAAGGCCAAAATCCTCCTGCAGTCTTCTTCTCATGTCTTTCCTCACATAGAACTTCGTAATGGAACCCAATCCACAATCCGACTTGCTAATGCCACCTACTTTCTTCATAATGCCCTTTCCAATGCTCCCGATTCCAAATCTAAATGGAAAATACTCCGTAACCTATCCCTACCAGAATCCAATAAATTCAGTTCCATCCCGGTGACTCCAAATGATCTCAATGATCATTTCTTATCCTTCACTCACAATTCTTCTCCTACTTTTGACATTAAACATCACAATTTCAATCCTGAAGACTTCTTTTTTTCCCATGTGACCTACGATGAATTACTTTCCACTATCCTAAAAGCCCACACTAATGATTATGGTCCTGATAATATCCCAGTATAATGAATAAAATCCATCATTCCTGTCCTTTACCATATCTACAACTTTTCATTGCAAAACTCCATATTCCCATCCTCCTTGAAAACTGACCTAGTCTGACCTTTGTATAAAATATATAATCCTACCTCACTGCAAGATTTCCTATTTCTCTCCTATCCAACCTTTCAACGTTGTCCAAATGACCTTGTCCAAAATCAACTCTCCAACTTCCTATAGGAAAGTTCCCTTATCAACCCATTCCAATCTGACTTTCGACCTGGCTAATCAACGCAATCCACTCTCCTTAATATAACCTATGACCTCCAAAACTACAAAACCTTACTATCTTCATCCTTCTAGATTTTTCCAAAGCGTTTGACACAGTTGACCATAATATCCTCCTTACTAAATTGCACTATCTTCCTCTATCCAACACTGGCCTGTGCTGGATCAAACCCTTCCTTTCAAATCAGTTCCAGTATGTAGTCGTCCCAGGTCAACCTCCATCTAAGACCCTCCCCCTCTCATTTGGTGTCCCTTAAGGTTCCTCTCTATCTCCTACTCTGTTTGCTATTTACATTAATGACCTTCCCCTCCTGATCCATCACTCCCAATATCATATCTATGCAGATGATTTCCAAATATAACTGTCCTTCCCGCCTCCACCCGACCTATTATCAGTCACAGAAAACTTCAAGAAGACTTGGATAGGATTTGTGACAGAGCAAGAGCTAACAAGTTAAAGTCAAGGCAAAGGCAATCTTAATAGGCTCCTATCACCTCCTTAAAACTGTTCCTAATATTTCAACTTTATTCCTACATGATAATCCCATCAAATTTTATCCCTCTTTCAAAAACCTTGGAATAATCATTGATCAAACTCTTTCCTGGAAAAACCATGTATCCAATATCTCCCGCCGTACCATTTCCACCTTAAAACGCCTAAATTACTCCCGTCACCTATTTCCCCTTGAAACCCATAGGCTCCTAGTCACTTCCTTAATTTTGCTCCACTTTGACTATTGCTGTACAGTGCATGGGGGCGGCGTCTCTGAAGATCTCGAGGCGAATCGAAAACATTTGATAAATTGCATTGTACGATTCATCTTCCCGTTTTTATGCAGAATTGAAGTGGCTTTATCCTTCCTACCATTGTAAATATTTCCTGGCATCCTTCCTCTTTCAAGTCATCCAATCCCACCGCCTTTCATACATCTCAGAGCTCCTTCAGTTCAAATCCTCTCTTCGTTCCCGCTCTTCAGATTTATGCATAAGGGTCCACCGAACCACTGCTTTCGACAGATCATTCATTATCCGATCCTCATCTCTATGGAACTCCATCCCTTCTCACATCTGTCAATCCAATACCCTTCCTACCTTTAAATCTCGCCTGTTCAATCATTTCTTATCCATCCATTCCTCATAAAATTGTAAATAGATAACCCATAAACTAATGTAAATATCTATATAAATTACTTATATATTATTATATATTATATTATATCTTTCTTCATTATTTTTACTTCATGTTTATTTTCGATTTTTTATTATTAACTGATTTTAGTTAGAAAGTAACTTATAATTTTTTTATTATGACTATTTAATTACTCTGTATTGTTGTTTATGTATCTCTGAGGCTCCTTAGCCCACATTTCTGTTCTTTCTGTATTATTCTAAAGGGACACGTCCCAGCATAAATAAAGTATTATTATTATTAATTAATTGAAATTTCTGGCTAATGCAATATATTTAAGGCCATTCACACATAAGACAAAAGAAAAGCAATCAGTCAACAAAAACTTATTTTATGTTCCTTTCTTATTAAAAGGAATAATGGAACAATGTAGGACAGAAGTTTTGAGTGAACGTATCAGAAAAAAAAATCTTGATTTTGTTTCATAAAATCAATCCAAATTTTAACGAGTCTCAATAGTTTTGTTTTTCAGTTTCTTTTTCCAATTGGATACTAGCATGAATTTTCAATTTGTATTCATCCGTGAAGAATGGGTCATAACAATAAAAATCAAAAAGTTCCTTGATTTTTCTGAGGCATATTTGCAAAGAAAATAAGCATTAAAGAAAAGTGATGGAGCGCGAACTTCTATCCATGAAATATCTTTCCGATTTTTCTTTTACCCATCATCTCCCATTAAAAATTTATTTAATTAATAAATAAAATAAGCTAGGAGCTGTGAGAAGTTGAGCAGTATCGTCACCCTATAGTTGGCTCCTCCTCAGTCTCTATTACAGCTCCCGGAAACCGGGTTATTTCAAGTTATTTTTAACTAAATATGAAACTTTTTTTATTATTTAAAAAATGTAATATTAAAGGTTTATAAATTCGATATCACTTGAATTCAATTGATAGAAGTATCAATAAACTTATATATTTTTTTTAGAAAATAAGTAATATATCTCAATCTGCATCATATAATTCACAATATAGATCAAATGAGACTATTTAATCAAAAATTTATTTCATGAGTATAAGTAAATTAATATAATATTACCTGTTCAAGCTGCACAGCTGAATTGACGTGAATGTTACAGGTGGCGCAGTACAGCAAATTCGGAGTAGCGTCAACACCTAAAGCATGTATCAATGCTATCTATTTATCACATCATGGATTATGATGGGATAAAATAAATCTGATTGATCAACACGCGCAAACATCGTATGGAGCAATCAGTCAGATTTAAAATCCACATACAGGTGAAACATTTAAATTAAATAATCAGGAATAAACAGTAATCAAAACGTAAAAATAAAACTTTAAAAGATGATATCATTGAGAAAATTTCTTTGTCAAAATTTAGATATTACAGCCTTATTAAATTTTAAATATGAAATATTGCTGAAAAACAATGGATGGTGTAAAGAAAATACGGTACTTATTTAGTAGCGAGTAGCGTCAAAACCTCCCTTCTTATCTAATCTCGTTTCACATAACCTCCCTTATCTCATCTAACCTAAGTTATTCCGTTGTTTATTTTTTGTTTCTTTTGTTAGCTGTGAGTTAGTGTTATTTAATTATGGATGTTGTCACATTGTGGGAATTACCGTCTTCAGAAGAAGAGGCTATAAAATATTTTCAAGACGCTGGGATATTTGCAAAGATCAAATATTGTGATGAAGGTCATAAAATGAAGGTCATTAAATGGAGATGCTTTCGTAGTTGTAACAAAACTGTTTCTATAAGGAAAGGAACGTGGTTAGAGGATTTCTTTTTTAACGGCTTTAAAATTCATTTAAGGATGGTCCCATAATTTAACAACAATACAGTGGGGGAAAGAGCAGCTCAATTTTTAAGAGAAGTTTGTGCCCATGACATCTTGTATAGGTCGAGTAAAAAAATTGGAGGGTCTGGCAAAGTCGTCGAAGTAGACGAGAGGAAAGAGATTTATTTTACAACATATATGTTGTAACATAAAAGTATGTTTTTTATTATTACATTTGTTTCTGTTTTTGTTCACAATTTCAATAATATCAATACAAAACAATACATATGAATACGAAGATATAACAATATGAATATAGTACAATAAAAATGAATACGAAGAGCTTATCAGTGTTAAGGTTATTAACATTGGCAGATAGAAGTTGGACGCTACCCGCTACTAAATAAGTACCGAAAATGCTATCATAAAAGAAGATATTTATAACTAAATAATAAAGAAACCATTCTGGTTAGTATAAGCAAACAACTTGGAGGAGATTGTGGGCAGAACTTGGGCCACAACATTTAATGGGGAGACATAACTTCGAACAACTCAATATTTTTATTTTTTAACATTTTGATTCGTATTAAATTCTTACAATAGCATGCACTACTTGATGTTATTGCAATAACAAAAGATTATTTTATGTGTATTAAAAGATTCTCCCTTAAGTTGCTTACCTATAACGTAGATCATATTTATATATTTGCTGACATACAAAAAATTATGTATAGGAACTAATACAAGTAATATTACTTATTTTTTTTTATTTAAATAATTTTTCAGAAAGCATATAATATCAATTTAATTTAAATACAGTGCAATTACAGTAATACAAACTAAGTTCGTTCTGCATTACAGAGGATACAGAGAAAAACTACACAATATAAAATTTGATATATACATAACAGTTGATTAACTGGATATAAGGTACTGCAGAAGTCAAAATAACAGTTCTCAATTAAAAAAACATGTTTTTTTTTTTTTTATAAGATCTGTTATTTTGATTTCTGGAGTAACTTCTTAGCTACTTCTATTTTTGAACGATGTATTGGATTGTTTGGAAAATAATGCAGGATTTTGGTTTAAAAAGAATAAAGAAATATTTACCACTACTACCAATACATTTCTGCCAACGTGCTGGCAACTTTTCCATTCTCCTGGAATAGAATTTCTTATCTTTAGAATTGATTAACTCCAAAACCCGTTTTCTAATTACCTTTGTTCATTACATTTTTTGCCATATAAGTAATGGTGTAAAAAAAATGATAATGCGTAGGCAAGTGATATGGAGAGTAAAGCGAATGTGGCTTTCATATCCCAGCTCCAACAGTTTTTGTGATGTCATACGAGGGACATTACCAAAGATGGCTTCGTTATTGCCAATTTCTGATGCATTGCATTAATTTGGTTACAATGCTATTCGCTATTGATGGTTTCTCCAGAATTTAAGAAGCTATAGAGTATCAAACCAAATGGAGCCCACCAAACAGTAAAAATCACCTTTTTTCGATGAGTTGGGGGCTTTGGAAAATGTTCTGCTACTTTTCCTTTGTTGAGTCTCTATCCAGAACATCTACTGTTATCGTAAAGTATCCACTTTTTATCACAAGTAACAATTCTGGACAGAAAAGTGTCGTTTTTGTTTTGGCAAGTGTAACACAAACTTCATAACGCTGGTTTTTATGGCGGTCATTTAATGTGTGAGAAACCTAACTCCAATCACCTTGGAGGTGGTCATCAACAGTCGATTTGCTAAGGTTAAGTTTCCCTGCAAGTTCACGAACAATTGTTCTGGAGTTTTTTTCCACCATCAATATCGTCATCAAGAGAGGAAGTCCTTCCACGACCTTCTTTGTCTTCAAGGCTGACGCCTCAATCCCAAAAGTTGTTGAACCACCGTTGAGCAGTGCACTGCTCTCGCCCCAGACTTGTTTGATGTTTCTGGTTGTCTGGAACCTATCCAGGCTGAGTTTAAATTCGTAAAACAAAATTATACGAAAATCACGTGTTGACATCTTAGTAAAGACTGAATTATGTCTAAGCAGCGAAATACTACAGAGGTAAACAAACATTATCTTTTGGAAGAGGATTAATAAGTGTTGACATTCATACAAATGAATAATCCAGTAAACGTAAAACAGTTTGTTATATAGAGGGGTATTTAAAGAAAAATCAAAATCCTGCATCATTTTCAGGACAACCCAATAGAAGGATTTGTCACCATAGTCAATTGTTCTCTGATCCCCTTTGCCAGTTTGGATTGTTGAGACTATCAAAGTTCAGTCACTAAGATTGCACTGTAACTATCCCTCATACAAAATTCTATTGAAAAGAATAATAAATTAAATATGTTTGTGAAGCAAAAACTCCTGTATTTTCGGAAATTTTTTGAAACCATATAAAATACAGGAAAAGAGAAACATCATTAGTTAATGATATGGTCCCAAATAAAAGTAATAAAGAATACAGACAATAAAATTCAGAATATAAGGTGGGATTCTAAATTTATTAAATATTAAAATCAAATAGTAAAATAATTGATATCAGAGATAATTATCATAATATTTTTAAAGATTACCTGGAAAGTAAAAAAATTTTGAATAGCAGTGTTACTTTTAGGAGGATAGTGGTCAATATTATACTTGAAGTTTTGTATGCAACTATAATAGGGTAGTAAAATATATATACTATCATCCTTTTAACACAACAATTGTACTACTCAGAAAATATGACCAAATTAATGCTTATAACAATAAAATCAAAATGAATAACATTGGAATCAGGATAGTTCACATATAGTATGCAGAATTATCTGGCATACAAACATATTTAATTTAATGATACATACATCAACTTATCGTTCAGCGAACGCATCAGTATTAAGAAAATGAAGATGACTTACGTGGCTTTGCCGGATCACGAGTGCTATTTATTTGTGTATTACTTGCAGCGATAGGTTCATGAGATTGAGCTTTGTTCTTATGCTTTTGACCTAGGACAATATATGAAATGTCTTATTGAGAATAAAATATTAGCAATAACTATATCTATATAACCAACAATGGATAATTTATTTATAAATAACAGAAACACATGATATCAATAAACTTTTAAGTTGAAAAAATATTGTTTGTCTTAAACTGAATTTTACAACTAAATTACTCATGAACTATTCGAAAATTAATTTTAGACTAATTACACATTGACAAATTTCTATTGTACAACACCATATCCAGATAATTAGGTTTATTATTTTTAATAAATAGATAGCAACCATTGTTATGTCCAAAAAATTATCAATCATAAAAAAGAAAATTATACAGGCCAATGTTAGGAATCCCTTTTTATTTATTTTCGTTAATGTTACATGGAAAGTAATGTTAATTTTGATGTTGAATTGTTTGAAAGTAATTAACGATTGTGTAATAATTTAACTTATAGGCTTTTATATCCAAACAATACTTTTGAAATATTATGAGATCATGAGTGTGGAGTTTGCAAAAATTAATTTTAATAAGTGGAATAATTAAAACTATGCAAATAATTAAAACTAAATAAAGTAAGTGCAAAATATTACGAGACGGAAGAATTAACTTTTTCTTTTTTTGGTTGATTACAATGGTTCATTATGTTAAATAATAACAAAACAACTACACCGATTCTAACAGACTTTTTCAGCTATGCAAAATTGAGATTTCTTTTCTACAAATTTTTTTTCCTGACATTCCTACAAGATGTACTTATTTTCCAGTACTGGGTTTGATGGAGTATTGACGAAGAAATGACAGTAACAAAGAAAAAACACCGCAGTGAAACAATATATTTTAAACAAGGGTTAATTTTCAGATTGTCAATGCTTAAAGCATTAATTTCTTTTACAATTTTATTTTTCGCTTCCTATTTTATTTTACTAACTCAAGGTGGGGAATATTCATGCAGGAACTGAAAACAATTTCAGTCAATTTTTTTTTTTTCTTTTTTTTTTAGTAGGACTATGAAGAGCACAAATCGCCTTGTTCGAATAGGCTAAAATCTTTCTGGCGAGTTTGATAAAGATGCTGGTATAAGACAAGAGATTTACTGGCCTGTCTGTTATTTAACTTAACGGAAGGATTGATCAGGAAATCCCAAATCCAGGTTGGTGAGACCATTTTTAATCTTTGACCATCTTCGAGAGGGCTGCTATAGGATCTGTTTTGGATGTAAATACAGCCAAAACCAAATATATGCGGGCAAGTGGTTGATATAACCTAACTGAATAGTTTGAATTTTGAGGATATAAATTCTAACAGGTTAAGAGTTGTCTAACTGGGGTTTGAAGTAAACTCAAGTAATGATATCAGTCAGGAGATATGTAGAAGAATACCATCAGCAATTAGATGCTCATGATAAGCAGAAGTTAATTCTCATTATCCCAAGTAAAGCTCTGGAAGACCCTTATATAGTCTGTTGTAACATATGGTCCAAAACAAGAGCAGGAAAAAATCAGCTTCACATGTTTAAAAAGGAAAATACTGAGGAGGATTACAGTCCTGTTCTCGTGGAAGATGTTTGGCAAATGCACACCAATAAGGAGCTTTTTGCTCATAGCTAAGATAGCATGGATGTGGTGAAGTTTGTCAAGCAATGATGAACAATGTCGAGATTCCAACAACCTCATGACAGAGGTCTTAAATCGGACCCACAGATTTGGAGGACCAACAGCAAGATGGCTGTACGGAGTGGGCGCGAATGCAAAACTGCTTATTGACACCCGAAATTGGATATCTGAAACATAAGATAGAACCTACTGGAGGAGGCCCAGATTCAGTGGTGGATTGTTAGGCCATAAAGTAGTAATAGTAATATATTACACTAAGGAAGCCATGACATTAACTTATTGACATGTTAAGAAATAATTACTACTAATTCAATTACCTTCAATGTGAGCTGCTATCTGACTTACAGCATTTAGGGTAGCACAACACAAAGTGCACGAAAAAGTGTTCGAGTCTTCATTATGACGAATGTAAGGAAGTTTCAAATACTGAGTCATCTCCTGCTCCTTTAACTAAAAACGAAAAAAAAAAAAAAATTAGGCAACAATATTGTTAAACACATATACATTAAAGACTACAAGTCATATATGTTGAGTCGTCGTGAAGTGATCTGAAATTTGTCTCACAATTTGGTGGATCTATTACATGTGTATAAACTGGTGTAACATTAGTAATAGCCAATTTTGAAGAAAAACAGCCACAAAATTTAAAATTTCTCTATAAATATCATCAGTTCATTACTATTTTATTCTATAAAACTGTGAAATATATAGTTAAGAAAGCAGTAATTGTTTTAAAATGATTGGTCCTGGCTATTTATCACCCATGATATTGTAAGCTAAAAAGTACAATAAAAACTATGAAACGTATGAGACGTGCTGGCAGCACATGATGTCTCCATCCCAATTGATTTTCCTTAACTATAACTTTTCTGGCAAATATGAATCAAAAATTTTATTGTTTCATTATTAAAATAATCAATACCAAGTCAAAATTGAAAATTCATGCAACTACGAAATTGTAAGATCAACAAATACTATACTAGACAATGAAATAAAACATTACCTTTTTCGAATGCTTTGATCCGCTTAAGTGACTTTTATAAGCAGCATTCCCATTACAGTCCACCTTGCATACATCACATCTGATGTATTCCTAAAATATACAACACCATGAAAAAATAATCCAAAATAAAAACATTCCAACAACTGGAGAATATGGCTATTCTGAAATTTATTTGTTACTATTTTTAAATTCACCTCATTTACCAGATTGACTTGAACAGCTTTGTCACTAAAACAAGGGCAATTACAATAATCAAGGGCAGATATTGGGAAAGTATTCGCTGGGAAAGTATTTGCGAGTTGAAGACTCGCATAATTAATAAGATAATCATTCATATCACTGACTGGGTGTACTTTCATTAGTTGATAAAGCCTTCAAATGAATTACAAATAGACTGTAACACATTCGGGATTAATTTAAACCTATCAATACCAAAGGTCAAGGGAACTTGGCACAAATAAAAAAAAAAAATTAGGTCTATTAAATTTTACTTTTATAAATTAAATACTATTATATACATGACAAGTTTTCAGTAATCATACAGAGAATATTTGGAAACTATTATAGCAGATAGGAAAAATATTTTTTAATATAAATATTCTTAACATTTCAAGAAAAATTACTAATAAGAAAAACAAATAGATATTTAGTTTTAATTAAAATAGAATATTATCTATAATACAGTTTAATAAGAGATCTAAAATTATAATTTGTATAGTTTTAAGTTGCATATATCATAACTCTTCGTATTAAATCAAATATAAATTTGTATCATCTAATTATTATTCCATTATGACATTTTTAACAAAGTAAGTTCAATAGAGTGTACTTCAGAATATTTCATCACTTTGCTTCAATTATATTTCTGTCATTGAATAATAGTGTATTGAGCTATTATTCCCAGATCTAATTTGTAAATCAGAATCCATAAAAAGAGATTTCAGAAACCTTGCAGTATCAATTTATAAATTACTTCATCAAATACCCGGTTTTGAATCTTCAACTAGCTAAATTTGTGTTACTAATTGTCCCTAACCTTTTAGCTTTTATCAAACTTCCGTCATCATGCCATTTCAAATTATGCTATACCCAGTATAGATTCTGAAAAACTAGAAGTAATTTTGATGAATGTTTCTTGATTGAAGTCTAAAAACACAAAGGGCTACATAAATTCTCCTCTCCCAATTCTCACGTGGCAACAAGAACGATTTAAGAAATGAACCCAATTTGTAAATACTATATATTATAACCGAGTAAACTTCTTCACTTATACAGGAAATTGGGTTCCTTAAATAAATCAGAGTATATACATTGTTTCGTTCAAAGAACAATGAATTTTCATTACAAATAATGTCAATTCCTGATGACATTATTAATAATAAATTCCGATCCAGCAACTTTATAACAAAATTCTGTTATTAATATTTGAATCGAGAAAAATTTATAACGCACTTGGGCATTACGTGCTACATTAGTGGAATATATCAATTGGATCATTAAAATTTACTCTTTGTTAATTCCTAGCACCTAATATAAAAAGAGGCAGACCTGAATAAACAGGAAATTTCAGGATCAGAGATGTCAAATAAAAGTTTACTAGCTAACATAGTAATCTGGAAAGAATGAAAATTCTTACAGGATTATTCTTGGTAGGGAGGGTCCCACAAATATTATCCAGAACAGCTCTTTGAATAGGATCCTTAATTGAGCTAGTATCATTGATAAATGTACCACTTGGAGGTTGAAGTTCTCCTGATGCACCAATTGGTGTTGCAAGCAATCCATTTGTGGTATTCAACTGGTCAGGGCTGAAAAAAAATAATCTATTAGGTTCTGTTTATAAACTAAACTTCTGAAAACAGAATACAACAAAAACAATCATTAAGTTCCTTGATATCACTCCAAGTCATCACCTCTGTTGGGAAAACACGGACGACATCTTAATTTAGAAATCATTAACTGCTTACCAGCCAATAATAGTAGCTACAGTTGGATACGACGTGTTATTCTTACTCATTGTTTAAAGATATCAGACCACAAACTCTGGTACAGAAAACAATGTAATAACTACTGACACAAGATGCCGGAAAGCCGAAAATGGCGACTGTGAACTTCGAGCTATCAACACCAAAGCAAAGTGAACAAAATTTCAGATTTGTAGAGTTCACAAAAGGGACATGAACTTCACTCCTTGGGAACCTGGGTCATGCCTTTTATTCCACAGAATCGGTGCCAAAATATATTTAAATTTGTTTTTAAATAGAGATTATTTAGAGGAGGATAATGATATTGAGAAAAGTTTAAAGATGCCTATTTAAAAAAAAAAACTAGTTTCTCAAGTGATGTTATGAATTAAGTCTCAATGGGCCGAAGTACCAAAAACTGAACAGATTTTACTTTACAAATTAATATTACAGAAGCAACATTTTCAAACCACATTTTAAATAAATATTAACCATATATTGTATTCTAAAACCTTTATATATATATATATATATGTACCTCTGATATACATATATGAATATTGGGCATCAATTATGAGCTAAGTGCCAAAACAAAAAACATTAATAAGAAAATTTTAAGCAAGTTAAGTGCCATTGCCAATAGCCTAAGAAGCATGTTAAGTGCTTTAATAATTAATATTGATTGTCTCAATAATGATTGAGGCATATAGAAAGCCTTTTAGAATGTTAGATATGACACTTTGTAGTTTGCATAATATTATTTAACTCAAATTTTGTTGCATGGCCACTTATCCTGTTATTTATGCCCGGTATTCATATGTAACTTCAATTTAATACGTATTCAATTAAAGAGATTGTGATCAGAAAATAATAGTACGTACTGTAAATTAAAAGGATACAAGGTCCACAAATACGACATTTTTGGCTTCTACATACTACTTGGTCTCATTTCGAGGTGATGTACTTTTATGCTTCATATGATACTTTTAGGTTCTTCTTTTCGATTATTATTATTATGATAAACTTTTGTAATTGATCAAGAAAAAAAAACATTAATCCTCTTAAAAATTGAAGTTTCACGTTCACGTTCCCAGAAATGTAAAATCCAAAGATCCGTCCATCCGTCGTACGCAATCTGCGACTTTCGTCTGAGATTACAGAACCGATTTTTTAAGTATTGATCACCTGTCCCAAGTCAACTCAAGATTAATAGAATTTACAATAACAATTTTACACTTTGTTTTTAAAACCATTCAAAAATGAGATATTGGTGTTCGATAATCATGGGCGGTCCCCACGGTATCCCGCCTGAGAGCGCCTGCTACGTGGGAGTTTTAAAATATTAAAAATTATAAAAGAAAAATTAATTTTAGCCAAATAATTAAGAAATACATTTCAAATATAGACATGGTGATATATTAGAACTTGAGAATATATTGGGGGTTTCGAATAGTTATGAAAAGCTGAACATTTTCGGGAATTCACAGTCATATTTGCGAAAATCGGGGAATATCATTAATTTTAAACTTTAATATCGTACTTCAATATTCAAAACTGTGGGATGGATAATTTTGGCATTCAAAATAATGAAAGCTATTTTTTGTATGATTTTAGCCAAACAAAAAGAGATAAATCTGTACTACTTAGGCCTTTCAGTGCGACAATGCCTAGGCGTTCTCTCGGTTATAACTTTTACTGCTGATCCATTGGATTTGTTTAATTAAAACTTGATCTCAATAGCAGAATTTCATTCTTAATAGGTTTATATAACTGACAAAATGTAATTTATCTTATCTTTTAATTAATTACCTCTATTAATTCTGACCATTACTGTATGGATTACGGGGACATAATTGAGAAGAATGAGGATAAGGAAAGAAAGAAAATAACAAATGACTTCTTTATATACAAATACTTGATATTTATGATGAGAGTCCTTTGAAATTCTATCCTTTCCGATTTTTTTTTTTACTTGATATTGTCAATAAGATAGATTAGTATGCTGTGTCAGTTAGCCACTCAACACAGTTGATCAGTATTACGATTTTATTGTAATTCTCTCTGTAAGTAAAATATGAATATGCTTACTCATCTTATACAGTTTTTATGATCATGTTGCAAAATTATTTTTTTATGTAAGTCCTTATTCTTTTATGTAAAAATTACTGCAAAATTTATTTTCAACGCAACCTACTAACAAATATAAATTTTTTGTATGGATAATTCCTACGGACCTGAAGTTGTAAAATGTTTAAACAATTTTTATTTTCAACTTCGTTGGAATGGTTTTACTTTTCTGAATTTATAACCTGCTGATCTACCTACAAACCAAGTTGATTAATTAATTAATATATTAATATTTATTCACCTTGCTAACTAGTTTGAAAACAACTTGGATTGATATTAATTTTCTATTATTTAATAAGATTATGATTGCTATTTATCATTGGTAATGGATAGAAAAGAAAATCTTGAGGACATATTTATTTCTCTTAAGAAATATCTATCTGAAGATGGTCTTGTTCAAATGTCTGATGTGGATCAAAGTGTAATTTATAAGTTGAACCTATCTCATAAAAATATCATCAATAATAACAGGTGTTGAAGATTATATATGCATATTTGTCTAAGCACTTGTACACTATACTATTGATTTTCTTATGATATTTATTTAGTTCTCATTTTAACATGACAATTATAGACTTGATGGTATTAGTACACAAGTATCAATGGTTGACATGTATGTCAAGATCACATTTATCACCCTAAATATTATCCTGAGAGTAGTCTAGTGTTAATAAAAGTATAAAGAGGCAGATAATCTTCTTATTTTGCTTGGAAATCAATAATAGAAGGTATTTTTGGATGAATTCAAAGTGATTCCTATTAACTTAACAAAAATGCTTGATAACCCGTAGCCTTAACTGAAACGGGTCCATTTGCAGTACGCTTATCCCTTGAGAGCTTACCCAGGAATATAACTGTCACCAGCTACTCTTTGAATCCCAGTGATTACTTTTGTTCAATTCCGTTGTTTGTTGGATGATGATAAATAGTTGAACACTATGTCTCTTAATCTTAGAGGCCTATTAGATGGTAGAACTTAAACGAAATGAATGAGAGTCATTTGGAGTGTAAATTTTTTAAGAAGATATGACTTTAAAGAAGTTATGTTTATTAAAAAATGTTACAATAATATATAAACTTTTTACGTTTTCTTAGAAAAATATAGATATCTAATATATGTAGAGATGGTTGACCATTGATATAATATGAGAAGGAGTTATTCGAGGGTGCGGTCAAATAAATAAAAAAATTAAAATATATAAATTAAAATTAAAATAATTTATATATTTTAATTTTTTTATTTATTTGACCACACCCTCGACTAACTCCTTCTGATATCTAATATAGATTTGTTCCACTAAATTTAATTTTTAAAAATACCATTACTTCTTTAGTGAGGACTTTACTTACCATAATGAAACGAATGACCTATTGAACACCATTTTAACTTACATAGCAACCCAAATATCTATATACATTTTGCAAGTAATTCTAGAAATTAAGCCGAAAATAAGTTATTTTTATTTTATGAACAAAGAACAATATGCTTAACTGTTTATTTTAGAAGTATAACATATAAATTAAGCAAAATTAATCAAATATAAACTTGTAATAAGAAAAATATATTAAAAGAGAGCCTGTTGTTTTCTTAATACAAACAATTATTCATAAATTGTTTAACATACATTAAAGGAAAAAAATTACTTAGGCTATCTTAATTATCTGTTTTCCCCCGAGATTTGAAGGCAAAGGCCTTAGGAGATCCAGAGATGAACTCCTCTCTTTCCCTGCAATAAAACAGAAAACTAGTTTATATTTTATATATAGTATATAACAAAATTAGTTATTTTATACTTTTAAAACCTATTTCTTCTGAACGGAATCAAGAAAGAATCCTGGTCGACCCAGAATCCTTTCTATTATAAGTATTTTCAACATTTCATATTGTTGATCATGTTCCAATTCAACATAAAACAGATTCTTGATTCATTGGCCTAAGTAATTATTACCTTATAAGAATTTTTTTTTTGTTCCCTCTGAGACTGTATCCAACCCTGGACAGAAGTCGTATTTTATTACCTTTCTGTATTTTAGTACTATTATAAACTGTTTTTATTAATGTGGATAAACATTTACTAGTGTTATAATGAGTTTATTTGTTTTTCAGGAGTCCTGATGTGCTTAAAGATATCCAAGCTGTCCTAGATGTAGTTTGGGAAGATTTGAATACGGGACACTGGAGCACTGTTTCGGAAAAACACAGAAAAATATATGCATTAGGAAGTTTATTTAAAGTAAGAAAGTATAATATTTAAGTAAATTTATTTGTATTTCCCGGTGATAAGAATATGTAATTAAAGGGAATTGAACTCCATATCTTGATTTATTGTAAGCACTGTTGATGACTACAATGATATTATGTCTTGATATTACTGTTATTAAATAATTTCATTTATATAAAATATTTACTATAAAATTTGTCATATGCCTAGCATTGTAAAACAATAGTGTTTGTTTATTTATTTGTTAAATTGGTATAAAATTTGAAATTTAAAGGTTATTCGAATCATTCAAGAACTATTGAATGACAGTATTCATTTAAATGAACACCTGAAGGAAGCGATAAAAGCTGCTGATATGGGGCTGCTCATGGGGACAGGCTATCATCAGCAGTTGTCTAATGCAGCACGGATGTTGAGTAATTTGGTCTTAAATGGTAAGTACATAACAATCACTTATATATTTAAATTATTTGTAATGCTAATATTTTTTTATGTCGCAACATAGTTGTATTGTAATATGTTATAGTCTATGCAGATATAGTAATAATTGAGTCATTTAATACCAAAAATAATCTAAATGATAAAACATAATTTTTGAAGTAATATATAGATTGATATCTTATGAACGGATTGATCAATTTGGCTACAGTTTATTTATTTTTTCTAAAAAAACAAACAAGTGAAACATTATATTTCTATATATATTGCTATTTATTTATACTGTTCATTAAATAAAAAAAATCACTAAATAATAATTTTATTTTATCATAAAAAGTTCTTATAGTGACTTTTGGAAGTAAAATTCATTGAATAAGAACTAGGACAGAGTGTATGCCTTTCTTTTCTTGACTTTACTGTTGCATTTATCTCACTTCCCCCTGAGAATTCTGGAATGCTTTGGAAGAGAGAAATATACCACCAAATCAGATAAATCCTTTAAAATCCGTATATAAGGATACAAAAGATATAGTTTGCCTAAATAGTACTAGATCTGACTCTTTAGATTCTATTAGGAAATGAAGCAGGTCGACATTCTGAGTTCCCTCCTTTTTAATATTTTAACGGGTTAATGGATTATGGAAGATATGCAAAATTAGCATACCTAGGGCAAGTCTATGTGATATTAGAATCTGCTTCCAGAGCTTCATTAATGCAGATTCCAAATGGTAATTAGAGGTGGGTCGGAACGTCTACAAGTAACTGTAAATGTATGGTCTGAATAATATAAAACAAAAGAACTGGACAGGAGTATAAATCCTGAAAAGAACAAGGTTGTAAAAATTGGAAGAAGAGAACAACAGCTTACGATTATCTTCCTTAGATAGATCCTTTAGGATGGGTTTTGTTTTACAATCCAGTAAAAAAAAATTCTGTAGAATGTTTTGGAAAGAAACATCCAAATAGTTGTTAGTCATTTGCTGAGATTTTAGTAGAGAATTAACACAATCGGCAGTTTTGGATAGGGATTTCTCTTAGACATGTAGTAGAGGGGTTTCAGAAACAGACAATATTGTTGATCCAAATAAATTCAGTCTTATAGGTTTTTTTTTCATTTTAAAGTAATTAAATCTCTACATTTCACGGTGCTGTTTTCTATGTCCTTATAAATCATTATAGGAGACTATTTTTCACCATCAAACAAAAAAAAGAGCTAAATTGATCTATAAGTAACTTGTACTAAATTAATTTTGTTATTTGTATTTCTAGCAAAATGAAATATTAATAACTCTTATGAAATTATCTATTTCGCAATCTTTTATTTTATTTAATTAATTAATTTTTTTCAGAAGAATTTTCTGGCAAATCAGATTTATTGCCATCATTTTCACATGACAATAAAAACTCTGACTGGTGCTTTCCCGGTATCAATGGGAAAATAGTTGAATGCCTGGAGTGCCCCTCATTAGAATATTTTTTCAAACATTATTTTTCTTTAAGAGTGCCTGTAAAATTAAAAGGTAAACTCTGCAATTTAGAAAGAATTGATAATGAATGTTTAATCGTAATTTTTTTATTTTTGGATAAACATAGTTACGTTTATATTTTTCTAGTCAGAATGCATTTCTCATTGGCCAGCTTTTGAAAAGTGGAATGATGTTAATTATTTGATCAAAACAGTTGGACCCCGAATGGTTCCTGTAGAATTAGGTTCATCGTACGTCCAGAATGATTGGAGCATGAAGCTCACTACTTTTCATGAATTTTTTTCAACTTACATTTCTCAGAAAAATGATTCTGTTGGATATCTTGCTCAGCATCAGTTATTTGATCAGGTAATCATAATTTAAATTAGTAACTATGAAATAACAATGATATATTATAATTCTAAAATGCAATTACTGTCTATTTATTGATAAAAAAAATTGCTGGCTTGTTTTCACTAATTGCTTATTATTTATTTATTTCTTATTATTCTAGGTTCCGGAATTAAAAAGAGACATCCTTATTCCTGAATATTGCTGCCTTTCAGATTCAGAAGATGATGCTTGCGATGTTGACATAAATGCTTGGTTTGGCCCTGCTGAAACTGTGTCTCCTCTCCACTTTGATCCAAAACACAACTTGCTGTCTCAGGTTGGAATATCCAATACGATATAACTCTTAAGCCATGGTGTCATGTATGGTTCTATTTTTTAATAATAAATGTTAATGTTTAATAACAAATCAGAGATCCAGGGAATTCCAGGCCTTAGATTAAGATTTTAGATTCTTTAGGAGGAAAAGAAGTCAAGAACATATCGTTGGTTTATTGCAAAAAGTCACCAAGTGCATTTTGATATTGATTAACTTTCAAATATGTTTTTGTTAATTTTGACCTTATTTATTAATTAAAAAACACTCTATGTGCATGAAAGAAACATAAATCCTTTTATTATCGTTTATAGTTATAGTAAGTGCATTATTTTCTGATTTCAAAAAAGGAAAATTCATCAAATTTCTTAATTATTTGAGGTTATGATATGTCACTCAATGACTTTTTACAAGAAACCAACGATATGTTCTACTGTTCTTTGTAGTAGCAAATATTTTGTTTAAATTTTATTATTATTACAGGATCACGTGTATTTCTACTATTACACTTATATTTGTCTTTATCGCATTACTTAAAAATTGAAAGCTTTTTAAATGTGTTATGAAAGCTAGTATGTAGTGTGGCACCATAAATGTGGACTCTTAGCCCATTGCTTACCAATATCTTGGGTATTGATGAAACATGGAAGTATACAGATTATTTTGTTTCATTTTAGAACACCCAATCACAGAAACTAATTCTATTATGCAGGTAATTAATAGATGAATTGTGGGATAAAATAAGGAATAGAACCGAGTTCAGAAGGAAATTTTCATTATTTTTTTAAGTATTATAAAGTATACATCATACATATATTTTGAAGTTAGTCGACTGTTCTACATATCATGATATATGGTGATAAATATTAAGAAGGCAGTAAAAAATTTTTTATTATTTGTGCCATCCTTTCAACCCAAACATGTGGGTCATCTTCAGGGCTGAAAATTTGAAATTAAAGTCAGAGATATAATATTATATGACCAATAATGGTAAATAATAAACTATAGTGATTTGATGATACATAAATCTTAACTATTATTACAATACACAATATTAAAAATGAAAAATGTAAAAAGTTATAAAAACTAAAAAAAAATAATATATATATAATCTATTTATAAAAATTTGTAATATTTTCCCTTACTAACCGTGGGTCGAGCACTGAAGGCTTTCAAGTACTGACACATTTGGTAGGTAAGTGGAAAGGTCGGGGGAGGATTTCCCAGTTGTCCTTTTTTAGATAGCAAAAGGTAGGTAAACATAGTCAGAGGGGGAAGGGAGGTAATATTTCTGTTAGTAGAATGTACATAATTTACTGACTAAATATTTTAGATGTGTACAAGATTTGCGTTGTTTTTTATGGTTACAAAATTGTGAATATTGGCTAGTAATGAAATGAACATATGCAAGAGGTGCCAATCAATGTAAATATAACGTAGTTACTATATATTTATCACCCATCATACGTATATTTTGTATTTTAATTTTATAAAATCTCATTTTATTTTACATTTTTGTATGCTATGCTTTTAATTATGAAAACATTTCTTGGACCAAATTTTATTGATTACGAATACAAGGGCTAAGGATTCAATTTTTAGTAAGACTATAATTTCCAACTTTAAGTTAGATAGTGGTTTGTTAAAGTATACTTTTGAAAAATTACTAAAATTTTCTCTTTTAATGTTGTTTTTTTTTCAATGATCTTGAAATTTTCTGTATAATCAATTAGAAGTTTTATGAGTATTAGAATCATAGGTTGTTGTTAAAAGTACAAGATCAATAGGTAAAATCAGAGTAATTAAATTATGTTTTTCATTTGCTATTTGAAAAAAAAAAAAAAAAAAATTTACCAGAATTGAAATGTGCTTTCAAATGTTTAATTATATTACTATAGCTACATGTAAAGGCTTAGTTAGGTTTTAAAATTGAACAAAGTTTTTTTTTTTTAAATCTATTATTATGGTGTTTATTATTTTTATTTTTATTTTTAGGTTATAGGGAGAAAGAGAATTATTTTATATTCACCTGAAGAATCTGATAAACTGTACCCACATGAAACCAAGATGTTGCACAATACTGCTAGGGTAGATCCATATAACCCAAATTATGAAGAATATCCCGAATTCAAAAAATCAACAGCATTAGAATGCCACCTTTATCCTGGTAACGTATTATAATTTTATTTTTTTAAAGAAAATCTTCATTGGTTACAAAATTTTATATGTATATTATTCTCTTCACCAGTTAGATATAGATTAATACAAATAAATATTTGAATTACTGAGTCAAAATTTAATCGCAAGGCCCTATCAAAGTATAGAAAAGTAATTTCATCATTTTTTTGATGAATTTTCATAATTTTCACAAAATATTTTCATCTAGAAAGATGGCAGCAAAAAACTTTTTCATGAAAGTGCCTAAGCCATTGCAACAAGTTTTGAGGAATTTATTCATGTTGTTTCAACTATTTACAATCGTCATTCTTTAGCTTTGTTTTTTATCCTCCCCTATTAGGCTATACAGAGTTTTCCTGGGCCAGGAGGTGAAACTCGTAAATATTTTATTAAGTTATCTTCTATGTGAGAGGGGTAGCTCAGTGGTAGGGCGTTGGAGCTTCCAATGCTCAAGGTTCCAGGTAAGAATCCTGCCTCATGTCTGAAAAATTATTTATTCTGTTTCAACTGCCGTGAGGCAACCCTGGGATCGGGAGGCCTTCCAGGGGCACACCTCTATAAGTGGTAAGCAAGCCTCTATAAAGTGGGTAAACCAGTACAACTACAACCCATGAAGGGTCTTGGGTTCAGTACTCTTATACTTATTTCTAAATCATTACCATCTATAAAAAAAAAAAAAATTAAAAAAAACCTGTACTACCACAGCTCATGTAGGGTTTTAGGTTCAGTACTTTGTTAGGAAGTACTGTTTGAAGGCCAACATTTGTGCATGGAGGGGATAGGGCCAGGATCCTGCTCAATCGTCAGGCTTTCTGTATTAATTAATTATTTAATTAAGAGTACCCTCTTTATAGAGGCTGGGTGTGCCACAGGAGGATCCCCCAACCCCAGGATTGATCCATGGCTGATGAAAAAAATGAATACCATCTGTAAAAGTTCTTAAAAATGGTTCCTTGAGCCTTTAATGCATCACATCCCTTCGAATCCTCTATATCCTGAAATACCAAAGGTGAAAAGGAGTCTCCTGACCATAATATTACATGTGTTGAAATTGAATATGCCTTTCGTTGGCGTTTTAACCTCACCCTACAATTTATTTTGTTTTGCTGGCATGATGTTCCCCAGGCTAATCAGTTATATTGTATGCCAACTCAAAGTACATACTTTGTTCCTATGTATACTCATAGTTAGGTTGGGTCTTCTTATTTTTATTGACTTCATAGACCATTAGCAAGATGTGATCTATGTTAAATAGATTATTCATGTTAGGTTAAGGCTTTGGAGTCTTATTATAAAATATTTAACTTATTTTTCTATAAAATTAGAAAGATGATAACTGAAAATGTGTTGTAATTATAGAGTTAAATATGGAGCAGGTCACCCAAAAGCTTTTCTTGGTTTAAGATATAAAGTAAAATAATATAAATCATAGAGATACTGTCATTGGTAACAAAAATCCTGCGGTTCAAAGATGAAAACTTAATCTTTGGTGTCAGTATTCTCTTTTTGTTACAAAAATGTAGAATTAATTACCCATAAGTTTTGAATTAAAGCAATAACAATGGACTTATACAGCAAGAAATAATTTTTTAAAGTACTCCATATACAGCCAAAGCCATTTTACGCACTTTAATTTAAAACGTTTCTTTCAGGTGAAATGCTGTATATTCCTCCTAAATGGTGGCATCACGTAAGGTCCTTGGACATAAGCTTCTCTGTTAGCTTCTGGTGGGAATAAAACATCTTAGCCTTTAACCTAACATTATTATTAATATTCTTATTATTATCTTGAATAAATACTATTTAACAAATAATTCCTCTGAACACATTGAAATTCCGTTTATTAAATTACACTAAAGCAACAGCATACATGCACTACTTAGTGATAATCATATATAAAGCATTACATATAAATATCCTATTTATATGTAAATCTATCCATTAATTATAGTTGAATTTGCTACCTAAGTTGTCAAATGTAGCGTTTGATACACATTACCTTAGTAATGGTTAAAGTAAGTTTACATTGAAATCGAAAGACCATAGTTTAATCTGCATGGAAAGCCATTTTGTCAATGTTATATTTATTACTAAATAAAACATAGTCTCTGTGATCAATAGATAAATACTTTAAGTCCTTTATATTACTTAGCATGAAATACTGTGTCCTATCTACAGAAAAAAAAAAAACTAATGAGTTTCCTGTATGTCTGTAATTATTTATTATGTTTACTATAATTTGTACCTATTATTTTTTAACTGTTTAAACTCTGCAGTATATCTTAGTGGTATAACCTTCTCCAACTTCAATCTTGCCTTCCTAATTTCTTTTCTCAAAATAAATTTTGTATTTTATTAAAAATTGACCTTGAATTATCAACTTTGAGTTTATGATACGAATCCTTAAAATGTAATGTTACAGAGAAATGAATACAAAGAAGTATGACACAAGAAAAAAATAAATTAACAAGGAATCAGTGCATCTGTTTATAATAATACTTCATAAAATAAACTCTAAATAAATTAGTCAAATAGTAATAATAATCTTACTGAATATGGACATGAATATTATTATGACACAATAAAAATTAAAAAAAAATCTTATGAGTGAACAGGTAACTTTTATTTTATATTTTATTAGATTATAATTATTCCATCAAATACTATTGGTATTTTTACTGGCAGACGATGACTTGTCAAATTTATAATTTGATTGACATTTTAAAGTATACAAATTTTAGTGTTTTTTTTTATGTGGAATCTTTTTTTTCTGACTTCATCGGAAATGTATTGAATCTTTTAAATTAGATTAACCATGGGGGAAATTTGATATTTAATTCTGTTTCAATTAGTTATAATATTAAAAAAAATAATAGAGAAATCCTGTTTTTAAACAATTTTATTGCAAAAGTTTTTGTTAAAGGATTATACATTTTGTTTTTTAATATCCACTCTTTTGAATAAATAAAAAACAATTTACCATTTTATCTTGACTTATACAAATAATTAAAAAAAAAAAATTAAATAATACAAATATTCACTGATGAGTTTCGAAATTTGTTATTGAAACTGCCATTTGACTGCTTCACTTGTGAAGAAACTAGCAAATGAATCATTTATTTCCAAAGTAACTCCTAATTTTTTTTTATGTGAATTGAGATAAGCATCGATTCTCAAGTAAAATCATCCAATGAATCCAATAGTGCTATTTTTTTTATTTTTTATCATAAGCAAATCTAAACATTAAAAAAAGTGGTGCAAAAATGTTTATTTCCTAAACTGGCCTTTTTTTTTTTTTTCAAGGGATGCAATGAAACTTGTATTCTTTAGCATTCGTAAAAAAAAAATATGTATCAACAACTTTTTTAATTATCCGTTTTATTCAAATGAAAGTTAAGAATAAATTAATTTTATTATAAAGAAAAGTTGATTTTTAATAGTACATTTTTATTATTTTTTTCTCTCCTATTAATACACCATTTTTTCTCTCCAAAACAAACCCCAATCAATCTATCTGTTTGCTCAAAAAATGGGCTGTGAAGTTAAATTCTTTCCCAAAGAATTCCTTAATCAAGTTTCAATGGTTTCTTATTACTACTGGAATAATCATTGGTTTTCAGGAATATATTCTTAAAATAAAAAAATTATTATTATATTTTTTTTAGATATTGGTTTTGAAATAATAATTGGATTAGAATATATATTTTTTTGCAACTCCTGAAAAATTTTCAGTGACGATTACGTTTGTTTTGTTAACTGAAATGTTTTCTCCTCTACAGTGTCTTCCTTTTTCTAATAATCATACTATCCTTTCCACTCGTAGAATAAGAAAATTATGACACAGTTCTTATATTCTCAATGAGAACATCAGATAGGTTTTTTGAGAATGAAATAGAAATAAATATTTCTTAAATTGTATCTATTATATTTATTTTGTAAATGTTAATGTTCATTTTTATTTTTAAATAAATACTTCATTTTTTGATTTATGTAGCTTCTAGAACAAATGAAAGTTATCAAATTTTCATTTGATTTATTTTACTAACACACTACAGTTCTTACTAATAGAGAAATACCATTTTTTAATGTATTTTTAAAAATTAATATCTCAAAAAGTATTTAAGACATTAAGTCAAAGTTTTCATATTTAATAAGGATAGAAAATGAAACAAATTGCCATTTTTTATTACATGAAGTCATATTTTAATAAATTAAATCACTAAGTAATATGATGAATATTCTCTGCAAAATCAAAACATTGTGTACACTATTTTTGATAAATAGTAAGGTTTATTATGATACACCTAATGAATTTTTACTTGAATATCAATAAGTATATGCGCTTCAAATTTCAGTTTCATCAAAACTATTTGTTCGTAGTAAGTCAACAAAATAACATTTTTTTTTATGATCCTTAACTAAGAATTACATGGGTCTGGATTAACCTAATTTTCATATCTAACTTCAAAATAATTTTTAACATTTCAATTCTAATTGCTAATATATTTAAGTTATTTATTGTCTTATTATGATTATTGCTTTTGACAATGACTAGACTCTATTTTTTATCACAAAAGTTTTGATTTTTGTTCATTCATTCTTTTGATTATGTTTGTTGTTATCTTGCATTCTCATGAGCTATTGCATGCTTCAGCCATTCAGGATCGTAAAATCTTGGATCTGCAAGTCTTAAAGCTGTACGCTTAATGAAATAATAATAAAAAACAGCCACTAAAACAGGAATTAAAGCATTAAAATTTCAAATAATTATTTTGTAATATAATAAAAATATTATGAAAATAGAAAACAAATCATACCAAATCTTTGTACAAAATATAGGATATCTATACCATTTCCCCAAAAGTATGGTTTTTCATCCCGGGAAAACAAGATATCCGTCTGAAGACCTACGGTTACCAGCAGGTAGATGATAGAAAAAATTAAAGGAAGTTTGAATCTTTTTAGGAGAATGCTCATGAAACCATTCTAAAAATTAAAATAATGCATGAGTGACATCCTACATTATATTTTATTTTATATTAATAAGTTAATTGATGAATTTACAAATGAAAAAAAAAATTGTGAATGTATTCTTTATATTTGTCAAATTCTGAATAAAGCTTAAATAGAATAAATAAGTAAGGAAGTAGTTTTATTTTTATTTAAAAGTAACTTGTAATCATAATATAAAATTATATTATACAAGTAAATAAGTCTACTATAATGTTTTTAATTTTAACTATACCTTTTTGTATGGGAAATTCTTGATTTACAGACTCTAATTGTCAAATTTCAACGCATAATTCATTAAGCATTTGTAGTGATTATATGTATCATGGTTTGTCAATCAAGCTATTTAATCTTTATAATTGTGGGTTTATGGTTGACTATAGTGAATAATTGAAGAGAAGGACGGTTGGGGGGTAAAAAATAAATAATTTTATTTATTTTTACATTCGCCTAACATTACATTGGTGAACCTTTTACTTTGGCAAATGTAAAAATAAATAAAATTATTTACTTTTTACCATTTCTATTAGACTGAACACCCCAACCATCCTCTTCAATTATTTAATCTTTAAATTAATATGAATAAAATGATATTTTTTATGATTTTCTATCAAGTTTATGAAAAATCGATCTTTAAGGATGCTTCAAACAAAATATAGTTAATTTTAAGAATAAACAAACACATTTCTTTTCTTATTCACTTTATACATAAAATAGAAAAATTGTTTTCAATCATGTATATTTCAAAAATACAAGATTTCGAAACTTATGTAATCTCTTGTTTTGAATAATTACCTTAAAAACATTTGTGCGAAAAAGGGCAAAACACACCAGTGTTATAGATATTAAAATCAAAGCATCCTGGATCCTAAATAAAAAATTTTAAAAAAGTGATAAGTATTTTAAGAAGTAGAGACATTTAAAAAAACATTTTGTTAATTATTACCTGGTTATACTCACACATATATGACCAATAAGGTTACCATCTTATATCTAACAATAAATTTATCAGATATTGCATTGCAAGCTATATCTGCCAGAATGAACATAAATTGAAATAGTATCGTGGTTGAAAAGGTAGCATTAGTTAATTTCATTTTATTTACATTCCAAGGAAATTACTATTAAAATAAATATATTTATATTTTAACTACATTAACTCAAAACTACAAAAAGGTTTCTCTATTTTGTTTTGGCTTGAACAGACAAGGTTACATTGTTTTTCTGGAGTTTCCATGGCAACTGGTAGGGGATGTTGACAGCCTGTTATATAATTTTTTATTTTATTTATTATTCCTACAATTTTAAATTTGAACTAGAAAATAAAAGATTAGTAGATATCACAATGAAAAAAATAAATAATCAAACAGAGTTATCACACTAATTCTCCCATGTCACATTAAAAATAAAACAATAGAGATGGATAATTTTTTAAAAAATTATTAGGAAGATAAATAGTCAGTATTTTCAGTCCAGATTTGTTTTATTTTGCTTGCAGAAACATAAAATATAGGCAAAATAAAAAATCCAAGAGAAAATGATAAATGTGAAAAGTATGTGTTTCCCTCATCTTTTTCTCTTAGCATATCCATGCTCTTCTTATGTCTATGTCTCAAATTTCTGATGTAAATTTTAATTTTTAGTTCCATTAATAACCCAGATACGTTAAAACGTTGGAAAGCCCTATAAAATAAATCTTTAATTATCATTCTGACCATTTATTATTCTGATAATCCTAAAAAAAAAAAGTATCTTAAATAAGATATTGAACTTTCTATGGTTGATATTTTTCCTCGAACCAACTATTTGTCAGTAGGATATAGGGGTCAATATCTTTAGAAAAAAAATTATTAATTTTTTACAGTTACAAAACGTGAATTTTCTAACTAACTACTATTTTGCTAGTAGAGATAAAAATGTTTCATAAAAGAAATTATGTATCGATTATTAGCATATTATTTATTTATTTTTTGGAATTTATTTATTTTCATTTTCCTTTTCCTTTCCCTCCTAAGGAATTATTGCAATCGGGTAATTTTGGATGTGCGGTAACTGATAGTTACTTTTTAAAGCTCCCTGAGTCCGAAAAAAATATTTTCAACCCATTATTCAAAAGGTGATTAAAATTTGGAATCGGTAGGAAAGTTTTGTGAGTGCACAAAGCAGATATTTTAAAATGAAACCCCTATCTGAAGTTATGTGGACTTAAAATTAAAATAAAAAATTTATTAAGTAAGTTTAAAATCGATCCAGCCTAGAGCTATTATATTATGACAAGGTTTTCAATGAAATTATGAAAACAAATAATACGAAAAATCAATTACATTTTTATCCATAATTCACGCTATTAAATCATGTCTCTTATTTGTAGTTCTTAATTGATTTTAAAGGAATAGATAGATAATTGCACTGCCGTTTAATATGTTTTTACTTTTGCTTACTTTAATATACGGGGGGGGGGGCTTTCGGGATGAACCCCCCCCCCAAAATGGAAAAATATAACCATGTTTTATGGGGAAAATTTTTTTAAAAATACCTCTTAAAGTATTATTGTTCGTGTAATTACATTTAAAAGTACTTAAGGAATAACTTAAACACCATTTCATATAGGTAGTTAGTTTCTTTCTGTTTTTCCAAAGTAATTATCGTTGTTTTTATGAAAAAAAAAAAGGGTTTTCGGGCTGAAGCCCCTCCCCAAAATTAAATCCTGGATCCGCTAGTGCTTTAATATGAAGTATTTAGTAAGAGAAAGTATTGTGATCGTGAAAAGAAATAGTGCCTGGTACGAACTTCTTTTTATCAAATTATTAATATCCGCTTGAAACTTCACAAATAGCTTCCTTTCATCGTAACCTACAACTATTTTATTTAATCTTGAAAAACTCTTGGAATTGGGACGTTTTTAATCTGGAGATCGGCAAACTATATTGGGCCGTTAGACCTACATAACCTTGTTATTTTGGGGTTTTAGTTCACACCAAACGGCTCAATATTTTTGAAGGTCGCCCTTTTTCTCGATCTTTTCTTCAAATCATTTTACGATCGAAGTGGAAAGTAAATGAATATTTACGAGTTTGTAGCGCATCATTAAACAGATAAAGTTTGCCGATCCACAGATTGAAAACGCACGATTCCAAGAATTTTTGTAAATAAAATAGTTGTAGGTTACGATGGGATGAAGCTATTTAGGAAGTTTCAGGAGGATATTAATAATTTTATAAAAAGGGATCTGTATCACGGACGAAAATCGAATCCGAGTTTATAACGAAAATACATGGTTTATCGCCCCGCTGAGACCAGAGGGTTTGCTCTCATGAAGGCGTTGTGAGGCATACTGTTTTCTCTAGAAATTCTATTACTCTTCTCTTCTTAAAATTTATGCCAGTGAAAGTAAAATTATTTAATGAGTTTCAATTCTGCGAAAAAAAAATTGTTGGCTGCTTAACATGTTTTAACTTCAATAAATTTTATAATAACATTAGTAAATGTTAATAGTAATACCTTACATTGTTGTCTATCCCTGGCGGCAGAAACTTACGCTACGATACTTACTGGTATTATGACTACCGAAGTAAAACAACGGTCACCACTTGGATCTCTCTTTTGCGAAAGGAGGCTTCAAACATATCGCTCCTTCAGATGTAAACTATTTAAAAGATTTAGATGGATATGAACTGGAGGAACAAGCTATAGGAATTCAAGTGTCAACTCCTCCTCCACCAGTGATTCGGGTGAACAGAGCGTTAGCTCTTTGAGTTAATCATGATTTTCGATCCTTCATGATCATTATTTCCTTTCCTTTCGATGAGCGTTATAGATGTTTTAGTGAACGATGCAACTTCATACGCTAAGTCTGTTATCTCTTTTAGAGAATCATTGCCTTCCTCTCCCTTCGGCAGTACCGGCCTTAGGATGGGGCAATGTGCCTAGAGCGCCGGCCAATCTTCAGGGGCGCTTATCACTTGTTAGAAATAGAAAAAAAAAATACAAAACGTCTTAAAATAATTAATGTTAGCCTATCAATAAAGCAACTGTATTAGAGAAATGTTGAATGAAATAAAATTCAAATATTACATGATACAAAACAGATTAAGAAATAAATTTACTTTTTTTTTAGGATGTGAGAAGGGAAGAAAATGACGTCATTGCCTGGGGCGCCCTATATCTATAGCCAGCATTGTTCTCCTACTATCTATCAGCCTTTTATTCACTTATGAATCACCTCTTTACGGTTGTTGAATACATAGATTCCCATCTCTCTCTCAAGGTCGACGGCGCATGAATTCCCCCTCCCTCTAGGCCCTAAGCCACTTACAAACCTAAGCCCCTCTCCCCTCCATCCTAAGCAATTTTATTGCTCTCCTCTTATTAAAAACGGTGCAAGTGAGAATAGAATTAGAAAAATCGTAGATCATATTCAATTACACTTAGTTTAGTCTGGTCCATATTTTCTCCCTTGTTCTCTGGTTTGAAACTTTTCACAACGAAAATTCATAATCCCATCCTAAAACTTTTGATGGAGTAACTTGCGCCATGAAATTCCCTTCTATTCACTCCTGATTCTTCTTATTAATTATTTACTTTCCTTTTGATGAATCTTGTAGGTTTTTTTAGTGAACTTTTCAACTTCTCTCCAGTGATTTTTTTGTTTTGTTTAATTATTAAATCTGTTATATTTTATAGAACCATTGCCTATCCCTTTCATCTTTTAATTGTTTAATGAATCATCTTTTTGCGGTCATAGAACCATTCTGATCTGATGAATGAATATCTTGATAAATTAATGATCACTCTACTGTATCTGCTTTGCATAATTATTCGTTTGGAAATGACGCTCTTGTATAATTGCAAAAGGTTACACCTTTCATAAACTTGATAAAACGCAATATTTTCATAAATATGATGCGATATGTTCTAGGTTGAACTGGTCCAGTTATGGATGGATGTTATGGATGTCGGACGCATCGCTTAGCATAGTTTATTCGACGATCGGAATAACATGACAAATATAGGAATTAAGCACATCAAGTTATCCGAAGGAGGATCGAGAGAAATTTAGAAGGGAGGAGACCCAGACTTGGGAGAAGGATACATATAGATAATAAATTATTGTGGGTGTTAAGTAGGGGTGGGGGTGGGGTGTTAAAAGGGAAAGAGGGGGAGTGGGTCAGGGGAGAAAGTGAGTAGGAAAGGGGGGGGATCTAACGGTACGCTCTGCCTGGCCTAACTGGTGACCCACATCCGCTGCCCCATTCACACAACCCATCCATGGAGCTCACAGCTCCATTCGACGAGTTCCTATATATGCCTCTCTTCATAAGGGTTCTCAGATGAAGTCTACACTCTCCTTCTGGGTAAGTGTATACATTATCTTATAAATAGGCGCTATATATTTTTTATAATTTTTTTCTCTTAATTTTGATCACTGTCCGCCTACGGCTACAATATTTTGATACTTCTTGTTGAACACGATTTATCTAATCTTTTTGTGTTTCCATATATTTTTAGTGATTCGCTATTGAAATGACAACTCCATTCTCTGTCTATAGAGGTACTATAGGTTACTGACATAACCGAACAAGTTTATTTCTTTCGCTTTCGGCTACTGTCATCCATACAGATGTCTCCGTACGCACCCCTTCTGGCTATCCATTTACCTAAAATGTTTCGACATGGACTGTTGATAACGAGATGTAGTGATTCCTTCTCGTCCAACGTAAGAGCTGGATGACCGCGGCGGGCAGGTGCTCATGATGTGACCCTGACCAAATGGATCATTGACCTCAGTCTGTCGAACACCATCTCGTCTGCTTTTATTGGGTCCTCATAGCATCTTATATTTAATGCATTCCTCCTTCATCTTTTCCTGTATAAACTGATATTTATGTACAAGTAATCTTAACACAGGCAAGGTTATGAAGATCGTCTTGTATGTAATGTAAATTAAACATAATCGAATTAATATTATATTCTAAATCTTTAAGTTTATTATAAATATTTGTCTTACATATTATGAAAAACTTTTATCTGAGATATAGAAAAAATTTTCATCGCAGATCTTAGCAAGATTGATGTTTTTCCTATCAGTTAATTATAATGAAATTTACTTTTCTTATATTTTCTGGATGTCTCAGGATTTTGGATTTAGATATATATTTTTAAAAGTTCATTCATTTCTGGTCATCCACTAATATATTCATTGATGGTTTCGATAGAAACATCATG